ACTTTAAAGAGTCCTCTCCTGCTGATGTTCAGGTGTATATCAGTATGTACTGTCTCTACTTTAAAGAGTCCTCTCCTGCTGATGTTCAGGTGTATATCAGTGTGTAGTGTCTCTACTTTAAAGAGTCCTCTCCTGCTGAATTCTCAACTCACCTGACCAGGTTTTACCAACACTGATTCAAAGGCTACGCTATAATCTATTACAATTATAATATTACTAGTGCGTCATTTAACAACCAACCCAGTCTCACGGCATTTCATGTTATAGTCACAACATTTAATCTATTGATTCGATTTCCCCCTTTTTTCCTTGAAATGGTCTTTTAGTCTTTATTATTTACCTACTTTTATATTGTTTTATTTATTTTAAAGGGTTTTATCTTACATCATTTATTTAACAGTTTTAATAGCAACATTTCCTTTTACGTTGTTTTAATCTTTATTAGAATTATGACGTTTTTATTACTATTATCTTTTCGTTTTTGTTGAGCCTATAAGTTGACTTATTTGATAGGGTTTCATATTGTTGCTTCGCTTCACTTAGTCTTGAGTCTTATTTATTATTTATTTTATTTGTATTATCTCACCTTTGACCTCCTCGTGTCTCTTAACCTGTTAACATTTTATATGTTTCTGCATGTATCTGTAAAGTTCTTAACATCTGATCTGAGGGAAACTTCCTGTGTATTTTTAACTGGTGATGTGTCATTTTGTAAATGTGCCGTATAAATAATAATAATAATTATTATTATATCATAGAAGATGTCTCAAGCGTCTTTAACTGATAAACCTCAGGTCTAAAACATCAATGCAACACATTTCTGACACTTTAAAAAAAATGTATTTCAGAAAAATTCTATATTTCTTTCAGAACATTTCTAAAAAGAAATCAGAAAAATGTAGAATTGCCAGAGCCTCGGTGTGTCCGGATGAACTCGGTGTGTCCGGATGAACTCGAATTAAAAATTCTACATTTTTTTCACAACATTTAAAAAAGAAATTCAGAACATTTCTAAAAAAAAATCAGAAAAATTCTACATTTATTTGAGAAAAATTATATATTTTTTTCAGAACATTTCTACATTTTGTTCAGAACATTTCTACATTTTTTCCAGAACAATTCTATATTTCTTTCAGAACATTTCTACATTTTTTTCAAAACATTTCTAAAAAAAATTCAGAACATTTCTACATTTTTTTCAGAACATTTCTACATTTTTTTCAGAACATTTCTACATTTTTTCCAGAACATTTCTACATTAGCCAGAGCCTTGGTGTGTCCAGATGAACTCGGTGTGTCCGGATGAACTCGGATGAAAAATTCTACATTTCTTTCAGAAAAATTATGCATTTTTTTCAGAAGAATTCTATATTTATTTCAGAGAAATTCTAAACTTATTTCAGATACATTTACGGAGCCCCTAAAGGGACATGGAAACAAAATCAATAAAGAGAGAGAGAAAAAAAAAAGTCAGGATAATGGGTAAGTATGTCCCTAAAATTAAGTAGCAGTTCGAAATATATCTCAAATAATGTATGCTCTGTCATTTCCCCACGTAAACTTAACAGTCTGCAATGAAATGGTTGTGTGCTCCACTTCCTCCTTGGCACACCGGTAACTTTCTGAAAAAAAAAAAATAAAGTCAGGATAACGGGTTAGTTTCTCGTGCGCACGTTTTCTTGACTTTATTTTTTCTCAAGTCTCTTAAACCGTTATCCCGAGTTTTTTTTTTTATCTTCTTTTTTTTTTTCACAAGATACTTTCTCGTGCGCACGAGATACTAACCCGTTATCCCGATTTATTTTTTTTCTCGCTCTCTCTCTTTTTTTTTTTTCATGTCCCTTTAGGGGGGGGGGTTACCTTGGTTGGTGATGGTTACACAAGCCAAAACATTGTTATGACGTTATGACATCATAAAGTGGCCAAAATCTGATCAGCTCATTTTCAGACAGGTTTTTATATAAATGGATCAGGACAAAAAGAGAGAGAATCTTTGTTCCTGAAACTTTCAGAGTCTCTTTACACAGAGGGGACACATGTTGATGTAGAAGAGACATGAAGAAGAGGGGACACATGTTGATGTAGAAGAGACATGAAGAAGAGGGGACACATGTTGATGTAGAAGAGACATGAAGAAGAGGGGACACATGTTGATGTAGAAGAGACATGAAGAAGAGGGGACACATGTTGATGTAGAAGAGACATGAAGAAGAGGGGACACATGTTGATGTAGAAGAGACATGAAGAAGAGGGGACACATGTTGATGTCGAAGAGACATGAAGAAGAGGGGACACGTGTTGATGTAGAAGAGACATGAAGAAGAGGGGACACATGTTGATGTAGAAGAGACATGAAGAAGAGGGGACACATGTTGATGTCGAAGAGACATGAAGAAGAGGGGACACATGTTGATGTAGAAGAGACATGAAGAAGAGGGGACACATGCTGATGTAGAAGAGACATGAAGAAGAGGGGACACATGTTGATGTTGAAGAGACGTGAAGAAGAGGGGACACATGTTGACGTAGAAGAGACATGAAGAAGAGGGGACACATGTTGATGTAGAAGAGACATGAAGAAGAGGGGACACATGTTGATGAAGAAGAGACGTGAAGAAGAGGGGACACATGTTGATGTAGAAGAGACATGAAGAAGTGGATTTAGCAGAATAGGAGACCTTTAAAGAAAGCAGCTCTCTGAGTCTCATCTCTCTGAGTCTCATCTCTCTGAGTCTCATCTCTCTGAGTCTCAGCTCTCTGAGTCTCATCTCTCTGAGTCTCATCTCTCTGAGTCTCAGCTCTCTGAGTCTCAGCTCTCTGAGTCTCATCTCTCTGAGTCTCAGCTCTCTGAGTCTCATCTCTCTTTGCAGCTGCTTCAAAGCCTCAGGAGCAGAGAAACTAAACCTCTTCTCCAGTTCAGTACCAAGAGGCAAAGTGTAGTTCTGTGTAAATGTGAGTACCTTCTCCCCTGGTACTCCATCCCCTGGAAGCCCCCGAGGACCCATCGGCTCCTTGAAGCCAGGCTCTCCCTACGAATAAGAAAAGGTCAATTAGTAAACAACACGAGGGTATCATCGGCATGCAGGGACATCCTGAAGTCCTGTCCATGGAGAGGACACTACGGAGGGGTTTGAGGTAAGATAAGAGATAAGATAAGAAATACTTGATTGATCCCAATGTGGGAAATGTTTGCGTTGCAGCAGCATAAACAGACAAGGCAGTACATTAGAGACATTAAAAGAGTAGAAATAAACAATCCACAATGTAAACATCGTTTGAGGGAAAAGCAAAGGCTAGAGATATAAAAGGAGACAGTGGTCATCTATAGAATTAACAGTTTAATGGATTTCTTTTAGTGACAACTGTATTATGTTGGTCATCAAGGATGGGTATCGAACCGATCCGTGCAGACCAACATCATTTGATTTTTTGTATTTGTTCCTTCATGGTATGCAGAACTTAATGGATAACAATTATCTACAGAACTTGTCTCTTTAAACACACCGTACCTGAAAAGGAGCAGGGAGGAGAAAGTAATCTGATATGACCTGCACCTTTCTCAAAGAAATAATAAATAGAAATAGATGGTCTGTGCTTCATATCTTCTTATTCTCAGCCAATCACAACGTGTCGTAGGACGATAATAATGACGAGGCTCGTCAAGGGTTTTGATCAGGATGTTTTGTGGTTGTGGCTCCGCAGATTAGATGGTTTTCCACCAATCAGAGGGTCGACATGTCAAACTGTCCATGGGCAAAAACCTACATTTGAGAGTGAAGGGTTATCCCTCCTGACGACCAGGCGGCCCCTCAATGGGCTCTGCCGTTATGAGGACGTTTTGGTGAACTCTGGACTCGTGTAAAAGCAGTTTTTAGAGCTCAAACAGTCTCTAAATGTTCTGTATCACATGCATGTCCTACCTTTGGCCCCTGGATGCCCTCTCCTGGAGGCCCCATCAGGCCTGAAGGTCCACTTTGCCCCGTAGAGCCCTGAGGATACAACACATCACGGTACTTTAAATAAACAAGGCTTCATAAACTCATTATGAAATAGAGAGGGTTTTGAAACACACACTGACCTTGGGTCCATAGAGTCCAATCCCAGGAGGGCCTGATGGTCCTGGTACCCCCGACAAACCTCTGTCTCCCTGAAGAACAGACACAGATACACCAATATCATCTACAGTATTATACAAGTCTCTGTTTTAGTCTACCTATTTATCTTCTTGGACACATTTGAGTTTGTTCTATCAACAGTCTTTGGTACGATCGATCCACATGACGTGCTCTACATTCTGCTGCCACGTCCACATTTATGAAGAGGTGTTATGTTCGAAGAATCAAAATACCTTTATTCGTATTGAAACACTATTCGATAAAGAGCATGCACATACTATTACAAGAAGTTATTCCAATTTACAAGAAATATGTTGAAGCAGTCTCTAATCGGTGAATCATCTTCAGGTTTACGTTACGCTTCGTCTTTTCTAGAAAACTACAAAAAAAAACATGTTAACTTTCAAACTTCTGCTTTAAATATGAGGATACTGAAAGTTGAATAAAATACAATAATACAAATACAAAATAGTGCAAGAAGTCTTTATGCATGTAAATAGAATATGATATGTACAAGAACAGAATGTAAAATTAAATAATTAAGACAAAATTAAATATGGTTTATTGCGGTGATAAATATTTAGATAAATAAATAAATTGCAAGATGACGAACAGATGAATGTTTATCGAGGCACTTTACAGAGCTCGAGTTTTTACATTTTATTAGTTTAAAATGTAAACCTATTCTCCTTAATTTAACTTTCTCCATACAGTTTGTCCTCTGTTGTTAATACTTGATATTTGCTAACTCTGCTGCTCCATGCATTTCATACATGAAGCATATATATATATATATATGTATATGAATCAATATATATATATATATATATATATATATATATATATATATATATATATAGCGATTATATTCTGTGCTCACGTTACCTTCGGCCCAATGATTCCCAGACCGTGTTCTCCCACAGCTCCTGAAGGTCCCACAGGCCCCAGATCCCCCTGTTAGAGAACCATTAACTCTCATTAAAACTGCTTTCAGATATTTATATTCTCAGAGGAGGGAGAAGTACTCACATCCTGTACTTGAGTAAAGGTAGAAGTACTCACATCTTGTAGTAAAAGTAGAAGTACTCAGATCCTGTTCTTGAGTAAAAGTAGAAGTACTCAGATTCTGTACTTGAGTAAAAGTAGAAGTACTCAGATGGTGTACTTGAGTAAAAGTAGAAGTACTCAGATCCTGTACTTGAGTAAAAGTAGAAGTACTCAGATGGTGTACTTGAGTAAAAGTAGAAGTACTCAGATCCTGTACTTAAGTAAAAGTAGAAGTACTCAGATCCTGTTCTTGGGTAAAAGTAGAAGTACTCAGATCTTGTACTTGAGTAAAAGTAGAAGTACTCAGATCTTGTACTTGAGTAAAAGTAGAAGTACTCAGATGGTGTACTTGAGTAAAAGTAGAAGTACTCAGATCCTGTACTTAAGTAAAAGTAGAAGTACTCAGATCCTGTTCTTGGGTAAAAGTAGAAGTACTCAGATCTTGTACTTGAGTAAAAGTAGAAGTACCAGAGTGTAGGAATACTCTGTTTCAGTAAAAGTCCTGCATTCAAAATGTTCCTCAAGTAAAAGTATAAAAGTATTCTCATCAAAATATAGTTAAAGTAGCGACAGTAAAAGTAGTCATTGTGCAGATTGGTCCATTTCAGAATAATATATATGATATGTTTTATAATGATTGATCATGAAAGTGTTCTCAAAGCTGGTAAAGGTGCAGCTAGTTTGAATGACTTTGTATACTGCAGGGTAGCTTGTGAATTTACTCCAGGTGGAACTAAAGTCTGATTTAACACTTGATTATATTTCACATCATTCATCCAGATCTGTGAAGTAACTAAAGGGATTAAATACATGTAGTGGAGTAAAAGTACACAGTAGCATAACATTGAAATGCTCAAGTAAAGTAAAAGTACCTCTAAATTGTACTTATCCATCTAATGATAATAAATAATTGAAGCTCTTCTCACCACTAGGTGTCGCCCTCCCCAGTTCTGCCTCCTCTCTGTTCATTGAACCCAGAACACATCGCTCACTAATCACCAGAAAGACGTGATAACACACCGACACATGGATCAATATCATTTTATCTAAACTCATACACACAATCAATTATTTGTTGATTTATATTCTGTAATGTGAATCTTTAAAGTACCTTAAAGTGTCAGATAATTGAAGTGGAGTAGAAAGTCTTCTCCTTCCTCTCCACCTGATGTTCTTCCTGCCTCATTGTGTGTTGGAGCTTCAGAGCGTTACTGCTATGACCTTTCTTTGTGTCGCCAGCTTCATCTCCATTACTTACGCACTGAACTGTTTGTAATCTGTAAACTACAACATGTCTACCAGATGATGCCAATCCTCCACAATTACATTTATTGATCTTAAAGGTTCTTTATTTAAAGGGGACCTATCATGCAAAATGCACTTTTGTACGTCTTTTATACATGAATATGTGTCCCCGGTGTTCCAGGGAACTCACCAAGTGTCAGAAAACACAACCCTCTCTATTTTCCTCCATACCCAAATCTCTAAAAAAGGGGCTGCAAACGGATCTGATAAAAACTGATCCAGATTTGAACACTGTCCTGACGTCAGGACGGTGGCGCTACGGCTATTGGGCCAACTCCACCAATCAGGAGGAGACAGCCACGGCCATTGCCGTTCGAAAGCGCTGGAGACGCTGTAGTACATATGCCAGGCCTGTAGATGGAGCTGTTCTCACTGAATCTGCCCCTACAAACACAGAGCTAGAAATTGTCAAATTGAGCGAAATGAGGCATGGCTAAAATGCATGATCTGTTTGGTATTTTGAAAAAAAAAATTTAAATATGCCTTATATAGGTATGGTCCTACACTATATTATTCAAATATAGTATGATAGGTCCACTTTAATTTGGAAACAAAAGCATTTAAACATGTTTAAACAAAAGGTAATAAGGAGTAAGTCGAAGAAAGACAAATATTATAATACATATTCAGAGCTCTGAGAAAACTAGGAACCACATTCAGAAGATGAAAGTAGTTTTTACTTTTCTGTAACAACACATATTAGTTTTTGCTCTGTGAGTGTAAAGATGTGAGGGTGCTCCCTGATAGTCTGGGGGTGAAAGGGAGGGAACAAAATATTAAATAACAGAGAGGAAACTGATTTGCAAAACCACAAGATGTCTTTGAATTACTCAAAAGCAAAGAGGGCTCACTAACCAATTTAAAAAACGTACTAAAGGCTAAATAAAAAAGTAATCAATATAAAAAGTGATATGGATCTGAGCTCCTAACACTGAACCCTCCTGTCAGGTTCCTTTCTCCTTCCTCACTTCCTGTCTGTTTCAACTGCTCTTACATTAACACAAAAAACATTATCATCACCAAATGTTATTCCTTTTTAAGCAGTAAACAAAGTCTCTACTGGTTCACATGAATACCTGCAGTGAGTAAACAAAGAATAGACTAACAGATAACATGGTTGTTGATGTGGTTGTGTATCTGATGGAGGAACATCATCTAGGGTTCTCCATTCATCTCCTATGAGTTACAAAGTTGACTAAAGCTCTCAAAACTCAATGAAAGTGTGGATCAGCAGTTTGATATGTTCACATGCTACTGTGGAGGATATCATGAGGCCTGGAGGCCATCACATGTGAAACACAATATTTATGATTGATGTAAATCAGTCAGATTTGACCCGAACACGACAGGACGGTTACAAAACACGAGTCCCAACGAGTGCCAAGTGTCCCACAGAGACAACACACTGATCACACACATCCATGCAGAGCAGGAGGAAGAGGACATGAAGCTGCTGCAGCTTTCCTCAGCCTTTGATGAAGGCGAGGGATTGGGATCACCTGAGAGAGGCTCACCTGGGGACAGACAGTTAGGGGAAGAGACACACAGTAACACAGGGCTCAGAGAAACCACCTGTCAATCATTAGCTGCTGCTTTCAGGAAGAGAGAGAGTACAGCTCTCATTCCTGTTGAGGGTTGAAGTAGAAACAGAGCTGAAACAAAGTGAAACATAGCGTCAGGTGTTCAAACATCAACACAGGTGTTACATTTCTCTGGTAGAAGCACTGCTCAGCGTTCACAGATCGGATGTTTCAGACGCTCTCTGACTCTCTTTCTGCTTTGCTTTCATTCATTATTGCTTTCATTTCAAACGCTGAGGTCAGATATGGAAACTCTTGTGTTTTATGATATAGTTTGTCCTGATAGAAGGCCTGATGTGTGCAGAGAGCTGAACTGAACCACAACACCTTCACATACGTACACATACAGAACATCATTCAATGGATATGGACTTGGTAGTGGACATCTCCAAGAACCTGATGCTTTGATAGCACACAGGTCTGTGTCAAATAACAGACTCTCACATGACTCACTCTAAAGTCAATGGCACACAAAGAGGGGTTCATTTAGCACGACACATTTGAAATAACTAAAAGACAAGTTATACAAGGAAGTAGAAAGAAAGGGAGGTGATAGAAAACTATTTCTGCTAAAAAGTTGGCAATGATTGAGAGTCAGAGCTAAACATTTCAGATGTGTGTATCTCACACTGCACTGTCACTTTTATTCATGTGTCTTTGCTTCTAAATGAGTGTTTTTAAATGTCAATTCATAATATGTTTCTTAATGCTCTTAATGTCTTTCATTTTTGTAAAGCACTTAGAATTGCCTTGTGTTGAAATGTGCTATATAAATAAACTTGGCTTGCCTTCACTTTCGATACACAACCTGAATGAGGCAGATTTACCGAGCAACAAGTGACGCGACGCTCAGACTGAATTCTCATTGGCTCAGACGGAGCTGGTGTTACCTCCCTTCTGTGTGTCTCTCTCATACCCCTTTCACACCAACGGTGTTTCAGGGCCGGTTCGGTGCTGGTGCTTGAAAAGCACCGGGTTTTCCTGTTCACACCGCAGCGGAGCAGCGTCATAGCTCCGGAATCCGGTTCGTTTCGAGCACCAAAAAGTTGTCCGTCTAGAAGCAAGAACCGCATACGTCACGCTTACGTCGGAGGGGGGCGAGATTAACCTGAGCTAACACTTAAGGCGAGTACGGCAAACAGCGTCAATTCAGACTGACACACATTCACTTAAGGGGAACTGGGGATATGTATCAGCTGCTTGTGTGACAGTCAGACAGTGAATACTTTAGAGCCGTGTGAGCTAACCCGGAGCTAACGGGAGAATACACTCCCGTTGAAGAGCAGCCGGCCAGCACTGCAGCGGTCGGTAAATGCCGCTGAAACACATTAATAAACAATGAACCACGGCACTCTGGAGAAAAGTATAAGGTTGGAGAAGTCGTTATTTAATTTAATCTGGCTTCGTATGATTAAAAGCAACGCAGTCCCCGGCCCGTTGTTGTTGTGAGGTGAGCTCCGTTGGGGAGAAACTCAGCGACGTAAACTGTGACGTCATGACGCAGCAGCGGCAGCACCAGTCGGGCTCTGAGCGGTGTGAAAAGAGCCGGCGCTAAAACCGAAGAAACCGGTTCTGAACCAGAAAAGCTCTAGCACGGAGCTTGAACCGGAGTTGCGTTGGTGTGAAAGGGGCATCATTGACATCCCGCTCTGCAGAAAGGACGGCTGTGGGGACGCGGAAGAAGGAAGTGAAGTTGGAGACGCGTGGCAGAAAGTTCACAGAGAATCGGAAATTCGGATACATACAGAAACGGTAGCATTGGACTGTTATTTTGGCGGATTTGCATAAACTGTACATTGAGTGTTTCATCATGTCAACCAGCTCAGATGGTAGCCAAAGACACAATATGGAATGGATGATAGCCAAAGCTGCGAAGAAGAAAAGATCTTTGAGAGACAGAGATAGTTCAGTAAGAGCTCGAAGTTGGTCGGATTGGTCGGGGTGAAGCAGACGAGGCTAAGCAAAACAAAAAATCAAGAGTCAGTCAAAATGACAGTCAAGCAATGTTGAATAAAGAAATAGAACACGAGTGGAAAGTGGTAATAGAATTCAATCAGGATGGTGGGCATTACCACCCGATTAAACTTACCAAAGCAATTGAAAAAGAGATTGGAAAAATTAAATTTGCTAAATTCATGAACAATAAGCGGGTATTGATACATGCCAATAACAAACAGCAGCAGGAAAAGATTCTGGGAATGAACTCACTGAATGGGGAGAAAATGAAGGCGCATGTTCCAGGAGCAATGGCGAAACTGAGAGGAGTAATCTCAGGAGTACCATTGGACATGTCAATGGAAGATGTGAAAAGTGAATTAAAAGGAGGCAAAATAGTGGAAGTCACAAGGCTTAAAAGCAAACGGGATGGTACACTCAAAGAAACATTATCAGTTCTCATTCAGTTTGAGAGAACCTTACCTAAGGCAGTACAAATGGGATATTTGAACTTCATGGTTAGGGAGTACATCCCCAAACCTCTCAGGTGCTACGCATGTCAACGAATGGGGCACACAGCGCAGCAGTGTAAAGGACAGCTAAGGTGTGCGAGATGCGGAGGAAAACATGAGTATGGGAAATGTGAAAAGGATGCAAAGGTTAAATGTTGTAACTGCGGAGGAGATCACAGTGCTGCGTTTGGAGGTTGTGAAGTGCAGAGAGAGGCCAGAGAGGTGCAGAGAGTTAAGATTACAAACAAAGTTTCATACGCAGAAGCAATAAAGAAAGTAAGGGGAACAGTAACAATCAATAAGACCCCTAGTGGAATGGAGCAGAGCATTACAATACAAAATGTCAGGAACACACCAAAAAGTAATCTTCAAATCCAACCCCACAGCGCCACCAAGAGTAAAGAGGATGATGATGTTTTAGGAGTGAAAAAGGTGAATTTTGTGGTATTTATATGCCATACTGTAAATGTTGCATTGCAGTTAAAAAAGAAAAGTGATAGAATCAAAGCCATTGTGGAGGCAGCTGGAAAATTCCTTGACATGAAAGATATTAAAGCAGATCAGATACATGCAATGCTAACTATAAATGGAGCTGGGGAAAATGAAAATCAGGATGAGGGTTAGATCCTTAATCATGGTGCTGCACATACTACAGTGGAACGCAAGAAGCCTCATAGCTAATGGTCAAGAATTCAAGAAATATATATATGATCTAGAGGTAGTCCCTGAGGTAATATGTGTGCAAGAAACCTGGTTACGACCTCAATTAGACTTTGTCATTCCAGGATTTAGCTGTATAAGGCATGATAGAGATATAATCAAAATGGTGGAGGGTGTGCCACGTTTCTCAAAGATGGTGTGGCATATAGGGAGGTGCAATCTCCTGATGATATAGAGTGTATTATAGTGGAAATCTGCAACCCTAGGAAACAAGATAACATTAGGATAATCAATTTATACAACCCATGTAAAAATCTAACCACTGATATATTTAAAGAAATAGCAGGCAATAAACATAGGAAGGAAGTTTGGTGTGGTGATTTCAATGCACACAAACAGTCTATGGGGCAGCAACCATACAGACAGTAACGGAAATATAGTGGAAGAAATGCTGGAGGAAAGAACACTAGTATGCCTTAATGATGGACATGGCACAAGAGTAGATGTACACAGGGGGAAAGTATCATGCCTGGATCTGACATTAGTGTCAAACTGTTTGGTTCATACATGCGAATGGTTTGTTTTGAATAAATCCACAGTAGGAAGTGACCATTATCCAGTGCTTACTAAAATGAATACTAATGTATATATACAGGAAGGAGGTGCAATAACCAGGTGGTGCTTTGCTAAAGCTGATTGGGGGAAATGTAGGATATGGTGTGAGGAGTCGGTACACCTGCTAACATCAGAGGGAAGCATAGAGGTCATTACAAGCCAAATAACGCAACATATTCTAAATGCAGCAGAGAACAGTATACCCAAACAACAACCAAGGGTAGGAAGAAAGTGGTGCCATGGTGGAATGAGGAATGCAGCAGGGCTATTAAAGAGCGAAATAATGCATTTAGAGAATTAAAGAAAAACATGACACAAAATAATGTTATAGAGTTTCAAAGGAAAAGGGCAGCTGCTCGAAGGACAATCAAATACACAAAAAAAAAGAACATGGAGAGAATTTTGTTCTACCATTGGCAGAGGAGTAAAATTAGGTGATGTCTGGTCCATGTTTAAGCGGATGAGTGGGAAAAGGGAAATCCATTAAAATTCCAGCTTTGGTTGATGGGGAGAGGCTGGCAGTGACAGATAAAGAGAAGGCAGACATGTTAGGAAGGACACTTGCAGCAGTACATAGCGGGGAACATCTCAGTGATATTCATAGGCAGCAAAAACAGCAGTTACTAGCAGAGAATGAAAACGTGAAAGGAGAAGAGACAGGATAATAGGTCAGCTCTTGATGTGGAATTTACAATGTCAGAACTCAAAATAGCCTTACAAGGTACAGGTTATACAGCCCCAGGACAAGACCAGCTATGTTATGCTATGTTTAGACAGTTGCCTATGGAAACTATGACAATGGTGCTGAGTCTTTTCAATAAAATCTGGAGAGAAGGAGATATGCCAAGTTTGTGGAAAACAGCAGTCGTGCTACCATTCAATAAGCCAGGGAAAGATACAGCTAACCCTAGTAACTACAGACCAATAGCTCTTACATCACACCTATGTAAATGGATGGAAAAGATCATTGTCCGTAGGCTCTCACATGTACTGGAGCAGAAAGGGCTGCTGAGTAGTTTTCAGAGCGGATTTCGTAAAGGGCGGTCCACAATAGATGCTTTAGTAAGAGTGAGTAATGATGTGGAAAAAACATTGAAAATGAAAGAGATAATGGCAATAGTGTACTTTGACATTGAAAAGGCGTATGACTGTATGTGGAGGGATGGGTTACTGATCAAATTGAGTAGAATGGGTATTGGAGGGAGAATGTACAATTGGGTAAGGGCCTTTTTAACAGACAGGACATTTAGAGTAAAGGTTGGAGCAGATATTTCCAACTATTTTGAAATAGAAAATGGTATCCCCCAAGGGAGTGCAGTCAGTCCAATATTATTTAACATCATGATCAATGATATATTTACATGTTTAGACACATGCATTCAATCGGCTCTATACGCAGATGATGGGGCTATTTGGATGAGGGGAAGAAATGCCCCATACGTAATGGAGAATATAGCTAGAGCGATTAAAAAAGTGGAGAGGTGGTCATATAACTGGGGATTCAAAATGTCAGAAAGCAAGTCATGCTACATGGTATTCACAAACAAACGCAAGATTGATGGCCAACAGCTAACACTATATGATCGTCCAATGACAAAGGTGAATGAGTTCAAATACCTAGGACTGTGGTTTGATAGCAAATATACATGGAAAATGCATATTAATCAAGTGGAAACAAAATGCAAAAAAGTATTAAATTTATTGCGAGCTGTAGCTGGATGCAACTGGGGCGCAGACAAACAAGCATTAATAGACATTTACAGATCAATTATGAGGTCCACAATAGATTATGGTTGTATAGTGTATGGAGCAGCAGCAAAAACATCGCTTTTAAAAATTGATAGAATACAATATAAAGCATTGCGGTTGTGTATTGGAGCGATAAAGTCATCCCCTATCAATGCAGTTCTGATAGAAGCAGGAGAGACACCTCTGGAGATCAGAAGAGAGAAACTTGCTCTGTCATACTGGGTCAGGCTACAAGGAAGTGGAGAAGGAAATATTTCAAACAGAATATTACAGGATTGCTGGGAATATGCAAAATTCCAGGGACGTGGGTTTGGCTGGACGAGTAAGGAGAGAACGAGGGCATATGGAGTGGACAATATCACGTTTGCTAAAGCAACCCCATTTAGCAGTGTTCCTCCAGGGCTTTTCCCAGAAGCTAAAATAGATATGAGTATTGTAGAAAGGAAAAAAGAGTGGCAAGTAAATGAAGTGGGAATTAAAACAAGTATGTATCTGAATGAAAAGTATTACAATTGCCTACAAATTTACACAGATGGTTCTAAGAACAAGGAAGAGTGTGTTGGAGTTGGTGTATACATCCCAGAATTTAAAATATCTATTTCAAAAAGAGCGTCTGATCAATTATCAGTGTACACAGCAGAAATGCTGGCAGTAATAATAGGATTACAGTGGGTTGAAGAGGTCAGACCAGATAGGGTGGTGATGTGCACAGATTCATTGTCCATATTACAAAGCATACAATCAACAACAACTGCCAGAGAAGACATTCTCATAGAACTGAATCATAGCCTGTTAAGATTGCACAGAGGCGGCATAGATCTGCAGTTCTGCTGGGTGCCTGCACATGAGGGGGTGAAAGGGAACGAGTGTGCTGATAAATTAGCAAAAAGTGCACTACAAAAGGAAATAACATTACCAGTTCAACTTGGAAAAGGAGAAGGAAAAGCAGTGATTAAGAAGAAAGGGATGGAGATCTGGCAGAAAAGGTGGGAGAAAGACCAGAAAGGCAAAGAATATCACAAAGTACAAAAGACAATTACAATTCATATTTATAAAGAAAGAAACAGAAGGGAGGAAATCATGATAGCTAGGCTCAGAATAAATCACACAGCATTGAATGGTACGCTGTATGTCATGGGGAAAAGTGACAGTGACAAGTGTGGGAACTGTGGAGTAAAAGAAGATGTAGAACATATCTTGTTACATTGTGACATATATAAAGCGGAAAGAGGAAAACTAAAGGCTAAAGTTTTAGAGGCAGAGAGGGAATGGAGTGTGGTTGGTATTTTGGGAACAAAAGGAGAGGGAGTAAGAGCTACCAGAAAGGCACTGTTTACATTCTTGAGTGAAACTGGGGTAGGAAAAAGAATTTAACATTAGGTCAAGAAAGAACATAGATTTTTATTTTTGTTTTATTTATTTCATGTTTTGTTTTTTGTTTTTTGTTGATTTATTTATTTATTTTGATTAGATCATAGGTTAAAGAGTTGGTATGATATGATGATTCATACTCATGTACAGTAGGTGGCGGTATGCACCTTTTAAGTTGTTTGCAATCCGCCAAAAAACGAAGAGAAGAAGAAGAAGAAGGACGGCTGTGTTTCTGTGGATAAAGAACCTTTCACACAGAAAGCCTCGTGAGATCAACATGAAGATGTTGCTGTTTCTGCTTCTCCTGGGAATAGTAGGCCCACACTGCACATCTGCACGTGAGTCTTTTGATTCTTTGCGTTGGAAAATAAGAAATGCTTCATGTGTTTACAGCAGGGCTTCTCAAACTCCGGACCAAGGTCTGGATCCGGACCGAACTGCAAATCAATCCGGACCGAACCCTGTGTCGCATTATAAAAAAAAAAAAAAAAATTATAAAAAAAAAAAAAAAAAAAAAAGAATTCTGATTCTGATAAATTAATGTACATCATCATGTACGCGCGTCTTGTGTCTGACGCGTTGTGAGAATGAACGTGCATATATATTTACTTGTGTGCGCGAGCGTGACACGCATAGCAGACCGCAAATTAACCGCAAGTTTACCTTGACATACTGTATGTATGTATTGAAGGTGTGTGTGTATACAGGGGCGCCGTTTACCGACAGGCAAGACAGGCAAGGCAGGCAAGTGCTTGGACCAGAAGGGGGCTCCCAAAGAAGGTAGATTAAGAAGGTCCACAGCAACGACAACATGAAACACCCTTTAATTTACTGCAACGACATGTCGGGCATTGATCCGGACCAGTGACCTTGTATAAAGTTCACAACTGGACCTTTAATAAAAAAGTTTGAGTACCCCTGAGTTGAGGTACACCTACCCGAGGTAGAACAAAGCACAACCATGTTTTTTCATTACTTTAATACGTCTAGTTTATGAAACGGATTGTTGTATAAAAATATTTCACAGCAAAATTATTTGTTTTGGTTAATGTTTGGAACTTTCCCATAACCGAAAATAGTGAAAATGTGCACTCCTCTGAAGGGGGCCGTGTTGGCCTTATCACATGTATCCCTGGAAATAATGATCAGAATTTCACCAAATTTGGCCTAAATGTTCACAGAGAGGTAATGCATACCAGATTGCAAAGATTATAGCAATACCTTTTACCTTTTTTGTAATATTAACACTTACACACACATAATTCATATGCCGAAATGGAATAGGACATTTAAAAATGCAAAAGGTATGTTTATGCTTTTCTGTCATTTTTAAACTAAAGAGTCCAATCACCCAAAACTGATGAAAGATTGCGTTTCGGGTTCAAAAATGTTTTTGATATAGTTGTATATGGGAGGATAACATGATGTAGTAATGTACTAACAAGACAACATGTTAACTTTTGGTTTCACATGAGGATAATTCATGTTTATTTGTCTGCATTATTTTGTGTTTTATTCTTTTTTTATTTTGAATGCATTATTTGTATTCCATACATTTAGGCTATATAACACACATACAAAATACAAAGCACCCCAGTGTATATATACATACTCTATATAACATATATCATTCATTTAAGATTTGATTTATCCAATCTAATAATTGAAAATGTTTATTTAAATCATGTGAACATATTATGCCAAGAAACCTGTTAGCTCATGGGATCACAGTATCTACAGTATCAACTGTTATTAAAAGATTATGTAAAATACAAACAAAAACTGTGTTTGGAATAGAAAAGTTTGATGTATAAAGCATATATATAATAATGATTATAATAAAAAACATTATTATATATAATATGTTTTGATCTCTTAATCTATGCGTTGAGTCCTTCCCTTCACACAGGTACACCCACAGGGCCCCATTCTGACGGCCATTTTGGCTGCACTGGTTAGCTGTTAGAGGCTGGTGACAGCAGAGGGGGAAGTGAATAGTCAAAAAAACTATTTTTATGAAAAGATAAGAGTCTCTGGTACATATAAATGACATTTTTGGGTGATTGGACTCTTTAGTTTAAAAATGACAGAAAAGCATAAACATACCTTTTGCTTTTTAAATATCCTATTCCATTTCCGCCTATGATTTATGTGTGTTTAAGTGTTAATAATACAAAGTACGTAAAAGGTATTGCTATAATCTTTGCTTTATTGTATGCTTACCTCTCTGTGAACATTTAGGCCAAATTTGGTGAAATTCTGATAATTATTTCCAGAGATACATGGGATAAGGCCAACACGGCTCCCTTCAGAGGAGCGCACATTTTTCGTTTCATAAACTAGACAAATTAAAGTAATGAAAAAACATGGTTGTGCTTTGTTCTACCTCGGGTAGGGGGTATCTCAATAACTAAAGCCTTTTTGGGGGGTTTGTTCCTCTACTGTTATGGGCTGTGTGAGTTTAAAGTGTGTCTTAATGGTGGTACATGGTGTACTTTGACTCCACTATATGTATTTAATACTTACAGATCTGGTAACTACTGTAGTTCTTTTTAAATCTGAATGTGGGAGATAAACATTGTTTGGAGATTTATAGTGACTGAAGTTATTACATTATTATTATCCTACAGGGACTCACTCTCTGAAGTATTTCGACACTGCGTCCTCTGGAGTCCCAAACTTACCAGAGTTTGTTAGTGTTGGGTTGGTTGATGAGGTTCAGATAACTCACTACGACAGCAACACCAAGAGATACGAACCCAAACAGGACTGGATGAACAACATCACAGCAGAGGATCCTCAGTACTGGGAGAGGAACACTCAGATCTCTCTGAGTAACCAGCAGGTCTTCAAAAACAACATTGAAACTGCAAAGCAGCGCTTCAACCAAACTGGAGGTTAGTTCATGTTTCACCTTCTACTGATAATATATTGTTTATATCTTCATCCTGTACACACACACACACACACACACACACACACACACACACACACACACACACACACACACACACACACACACACACACACACACACACACACACACACACACACACACACACACACACACACACACACAGACAGTGTCTCTGTCCATCCCATAATAACCACCAGAGGTCACTTTATTCTCTACATGAGACTAACTCTACTTGTAGTGACTAAAGTTAATTAAATAAGTCATTGCAGAGAATAAACTACGGCTAACGACACGTTCAGGAAACAGTCTGTGCTGAAGTTCTGTTTCATAATGATGTTGTTAGAAAAAGGGATTTATTTCTAATTAATTAAAAAGACTCTGAATGACTCTCTCTCTCTCTCTCTCTGTGTCTCTCTCGCTCTCTCTCTCTTCTCGTCTCTCTCTCTGCCTCTCTCTCTCTCTCATCGTCTCTCATCTCTCTCTCTCTCCCTCTCGGCGTCAGTATCCCTACTCTTCATCTCTCTCATCGATCTTCTCGCTCGTCAGGTACTCTCATCTCGCTTCGTCATCTCTGCTCTCCTCTCGCTCTCTCTCTCAGGTGTCGCACATTGTCCAGAGGATGATAGGCTGTGATTGGGATGATGAGACTGGTGAGGTCAAAGGTTATCTACACCATGGTTTTGATGGAGAAGACTTCCTGATACTGGACCTGGAGACAGAGTCATGGATCGCTCCAAGACGAGAGGCTGTCCTCACCAAACAGAGGTTGGATAAGGACAAAGCTTTGATGGCAAACCTCAAGAACTACTTCACCCAGGTCTGTCCTGAGTATCTGAAGAAGTTTATGAACAATGGGAGGAGCTTCCTGATGAGAACAGGTAGAGTCACATGACCTGATGGAGTTTCATAAACACCTCCATGTTCATGTCTCCTGTGTTTCTGACATTACAACACATGTCTCACTCTGTGTCTCACTCTGTGTCTCACACACTGTCTCACTCTCTGTCTCACTGTGTCTCACACACTGTCTCACTGTGTCTCACTGTGTCTCACACACTGTCTCACTGTGTCTCTCTGTGTCTCACTCTGTGCCTCACACTGTGTCTCACTCTGTCTCTCACACTGTCTCACTCTGTCTCACTCTTTGTCTCACACTGTCTCACTCTGTCTCACTCTGTCTCACTCTTTGTCACACACTGTCTCACTCTGTAAGTAAGTAAGTAAGTAAAACTTTATTTATATAGCACCCTTCTCAACACAAATGTACAAAGTGCTTTACAGTACAGTACACAATTCACAGTACAACTAAAATGTAGAATAAAAGGCATAAAAAGGCATAAAACAACAGCAGGTAATACATAGGATAAAACATACGATAAAACACCAATAAAAGACAGCTACTAACTCACCTCCTCCGATGCCCCAAAGGCCTGACGGAAGAGGTGGGTCTTTAACTGCCCCTTAAAAATCTCTACTGAGGCAGAGGCTCTTAGTGTCTGGGGGAGTTTGTTCCAAAGCCTTGGGGCCACCACCTCAAAGGCACGGTCCCCCTTGGTTTTTAGCCTGGTTCGGGGCACCCTTAGGAGGCCTTGCTCAGAGGACCTCAGGGCCCGGGTTGTGCTATGAGGGAGGATCAGGTCATTAATGTAGGCTGGGGCTTGGCCATGGACAGCTCTATATGTGAAAACCAATACCTTGAATTGGGTTCTGAGATGGACAGGGAGCCAGTGCAGGGCAGAAAGAATCGGGGTGATGTGGCATGTTTTTTTGGACCGAGTGAGCAATCTGGCTGCAGCATTTTGGACCTGTTGTAACCGGTTTATTGATGTTTTGTTGAGGCAGGAGAACAGAGCATTACAGTAATCCAGCCGGGATGAAATAAAGGCATGAATAGCCATCTCCATTTCTGTGTTTGATAGAACCCCCCTGAGCTTGGCAATGTTTCTGAGATGGAAAAAAACAGGTACGGGTCAGAAGTTTTATGTGTTTGTCTAGTAGCATAGACTGATCGAAAGTTACACCAAGGTTTTTGATGTTTGCCCTTATGTTACCACTGAAAGAACCCAGGTGGCTTGCTACCTTAGAGGCGATGTTATCAGCCGCTAAGATCAAGACTTCCGTTTTTGAAGCATTGAGCTGTAGGAAGTTGCTTGACATCCAATCCTCAATTGCAGACAGACATGTGATGAGAGTGTTTACAATTTCCATTTTGACGGGTTTGAAAGAGATGTATATCTGGATATCATCTGCATAACAGTGATATGAGACACCCTTGAATTGGCTAATTATGCAGCCCAATGGGAGCATGTACAGGGCAAAAAGAAGGGGGGCTAAAACAGAACCCTGGGGCAGGCCGCAGGATAGGGGAGTGCTGTGTGATGAGAACGGGCCCACCGCCACGGAGAAACTTCTCCCACTGAGGTACGAGGCAAACCACTGGAGGGCAGACCCTGAGATGCCTACCCACTCCCTGAGTCTATCTAGCATGATGGCGTGGTCCACTGTGTCAAACGCTGCACTCAGGTCCAACAACACCAGAACCACGCAATCACCTGCATCCGATGCCATCATGATGTCGTTGGAGACCCTGAGGAGAGCTGATTCTGTGGAGTGGTGTTTTCTGAAACCTGATTGGAATTTGTCATGGATTTTATTATCATTCAGAAATGTATTGAGTTGGTTAGCAACAACTTTTTCTAAAACTTTTGACACAAATGGGAGCTTTGAGATGGGCCTGTAATTATTCGGGAGGGAGGGATCTAGATTGGGTTTTTTGAGAATGGGCTGAACAACCGCCTGCTTAAAGAATGATGGGACGGAGCCGGAGACAATGGAGATGTTTATAATGTGGAGCAGGGGTGGAGCGACACATGAAAAAACTTCTTTTAGCATAGACGTTGGTAAGGCATCCAGAGGGCTTGAGGAAGATTTCATAGTGCTCACTACAGCGGTCAGGTCGGCTATAGTGATGCAGGAGAAATTACTCAGCGTGGCCTACCTAACTGGACAGATAGGGAGGGGGGAGTGGGAGGGGTTGATGCTCGACCTCACATCAGCTACCTTGTTTATAAAAAAGGTGAGAAAACCTGTCTCTCACTCACTCACTCTGTTTTCTTTCTCTGCTGCATTTCTTTTTATTTGACCAGTGTTTCTGTCTTTCAAGGTGAACTTCTGAATCACATCTTTTGTCTGACTAACACTGAACAGTTTCAGATTAGTAAAACATTAAACTCCTCTACAAACAAAGGTATTATTCTGGGATATGGAGACAGAAGACACCATTTCATCTTCACATGATGAAACAGGCGTAGTGTGAGCATCGTGTAATAAATCTGAATATGTTGGTGTGTAGCTGTCCGTGTTTCATCGTACGCAGCCTTTCTGTCTGGAAAGGATTTAAGACCAAAATACTGTTATTTTAAAAAACTGGAACTATAAAAAGTTTGGCATATTTCTTTAATAAAGAACTTAAACTGTTATTTTATAATCAGACGTGTTGGAATTAACTTTCTTTTGATCAACTATTCAGTGAATGGTACTATAGCACTACACAGTACAGTGGAGATAAATCAAACTTAATATTCTTGTCGATATAGATGAAGTAATGACTATTTTTCAGATAAATAAATGAATTGTTTTCACATTTGAATGTCAAGAAATAGAAACAAATCTTAATTTCCAAAAGTCTAAAAGGAAATATTCAACGTGCTTCTTTAATCTGAACAACACTAAACAGTATTTGATATTAAATTATATAAAACTGAGAAGAAAGTCTTTATTTAACCAATTTCTCTGAAACACTGACTCTGTGTTCTCCTTCAGTGATGCTCACAGTACATCATAACTCCCTGTAGTGATATCACTGTGAGTCAATAACCTCTAAAGTGTGTTTGTGCAGAGATCCCCTCAGTGTCTCTGCTCCAGAAGTCCCCCTCCTCTCCAGTCAGCTGCCACGCTACAGGTTTCTACCCGGACAGAGCCCTCATGTTCTGGACCAGAGACGGAGAGGAGATTTACGACAACGTGGACCACGGAGAGATCCTGCCCAACCACGACGGATCCTTCCAGATGAGCGTGGACCTGAACGTCTCCTCAATCCCCGCTGAACACTGGGACAAGTACCGATGTGTGTTCCAGCTCTCTGGGGTGGCGGAGGACCACGTCATCGTACTGGACTCAGCTGTGATCAGGACCAACAGAGGTAAGACTGCATCACAACGGCTCAATGGTTACTTATGGCGCATTTCCACCATGGCGCAGAGCGCGGTTTAAGTGTGCCGTGTCGTGCCGGGCCCGTTTTTGGTTGCGTTTCCACTAGGCCTAGTTTCGGCCCGGGGCTACTTTTTCACCTTTTTTCTGGCCCGACAAAATCGTGGTTCTATCTGGGCCAACAAGCGGGCCAACAACCGGGCTGAATTTACTAAACTAGTGAGAGAATCGCTGGCAAGGGGGCTACAACTACAACAAAATGAACATATTTGACCGTGATTTAATTGTAATACACGTTTCAAAATGATGCCGAAGTAACAACATACTGATACCGGTTAGTAAAAACCATGAATTAATGCTTTGTCAAGTCTGCAGACAGACGGCAGGCGAAACACCTTTTACAATGCGTGTTTTCTGAATGGAGATTGGCTAAGCTAACGCAGTATATGCTCCGACCGTCCACACTCACAACAACGGCCTACAGACATAAATAAAGCAGCGACTGTATTCGCCATGACACAGACAGTCTGTGGTTTGTACTTGTTTCACTTTTGTCGAGTTTCTGAACATATATGAGGAGCTGTGAGCTCTGAGTGCTAACAGCTAACGGCTGTGTTGTTTTTCTGAAGATGACGTCACGGCTCCGCCTACACTGCGTTACTATAGATACTACCCCAGTTCCTAAACTGTAATGGAAGCGCAGCATAAAGTGAGCCGGACCTAACAAGGCCTAACAAGGCCTAACAAAACCATACTAAGTCGAGCGAGGCCTGCGGTGGAAATGCGCCATAACATTCAACAGACCCTGTGTGATTGTAGTAATGTGTTTTTATTACATGTACAGCACTTTGGCTCGACCAAAAATCGCTTTTAAATGTGCTATATAAATAAAACCTGATTTGATTTGATTTGATTCAACAAACCCTGACAACATTTCATAGTCTCCCTCCCCTGAAACCAGGGTTGCCAACTCTCACGCATCTGGCGTGTGACACACGCTTTCACTCTCAACCTCACGCTCTCACGCTGCCCAAACTATTCTCACGCCAAAAACAAGAATACTGAAGATTAGAAACGGTTTTGAAAACTTTTGTCACGTAGTGATCGTCTTCTCAATAAAACATCTTTGATAATGTCTTCTGGCCAATCAGAATCACGATAACGGCGTGGTGTTGTTGCAGGAAGTCCCGACGGAGAATACTTTTGCTGTAGTACATCTCTATACAACATTACGTGTTGATAGAATTCAACACGTAATGAAATAAGACCCCACGGTTTGATGATTGATAGGTGTGTGGGCTGTCTTTCATTTTGACACACAGAACAATGGGGGCTATCCACCCTTATCCACAATGTAAAGTAATTCACACAGCCTCTTCCCTCTTCTCTCTGTGAGGAGCAGCAGGTTCAGCTTTCAGAACAAAGTAACACAAAACTAAAATGGCATTAATTTTTTAAAATATGTCGTGTAGTAATAGATTTATTTATTTTTCTTCTCAAGAGAGTACCAGAATGTGTATTTTATGTTAGTATTTAAAAAACTCCTGGGGGAGAATCCCCCCGACCCCCCTGCAGGGCTTGGGTTTTCAGCATGTCAACTCTTTCACCTGTGGGGAAATTGCAGGATTGGCTCCAGGTCGCCCTTTTTATTTACTACAAGACAAATGTGCCTTTTTATTTCATACATTTCAATTTGGATTGAGACAGGGAAATAATCTAAACCTCACGCGTGGCGTTTCACTGTCGGGGGGAGCGTGTATGTAATTACATTGCAAATACTGACTTGAGCCCCACCACTGTATGGGTTAGCCCTACCATAGATTACCCAACAAAAATACTCTGGAGCCGCAACTGCGGACCCGTATTGCACATGCGCAGATCTAAGATCCAGTAGAAATGATAAAAAGTAAAAGTCTGCTGCTTATTGTTCTACTAGGCCAAAATAGAGTCAAAGAGTATATGAGAGTGAGAGTGTGTTAATGAATATATTTGGCAGTTTGGAGTAAGTCTGTAGATTTGTTTGTGTGTGTGTGTTTCATGTATAGGCCTCTCACGATAATTAATTTTGTTGGATACATTTTCCCGGAAATTATTGCGATAAACGATAATATTGTCGGCACCGTTGTATGACCATTTTAGACCACTGACATAATGATAATATATAATAATTAGGGCTGTCAAGTTAATAACGCGTTAACGCAAAAAAAAATTAACGCCACTAATTATTTTAACGCGATTAACGCATGTGTATTTTTTGTCCTCGGCCGCCGTAGTTTCAGAGCGCATCGAGTGTAAAATACCATCGACAAGCTGATGCTGACAGCCCCGCTCCTGCCACCCGCTTGTGGCAGACCACACTACCACGCTCACTGGCAGGCCCGGACTGGCCATCGGGAGGACCGGGAAGGAGTGTGTATGTGTGGCGCGACTCGCGCGAGCGAGGCACACCTTACGTGTTGTTGTTGTTAGCATCTGGTGCTAGCTAGCTGCGCTGACGGATATAAGGAGCTGTTTCAATGACATTTCGCCGACAACTGCGCCGAGCACTTGACTTTATGCAGGTAGCCAGACAGTGGGACATTGTACGAAAAGTCAGCACACTCAGCACGGATAGTGCGCGCAACATTATTGCAGCGTCCAGGCAGCTCCCATTCGAGCATATATGCCTTGAGCTGCACATAGCTCCATAGATCCATCACAGTGTCTCCACACACACACACACACACACACACACACACACACACACACACACACACACACACACACACACACACACACACACACACACACACACACACACAGTATTATTGTATGAGAGAGGTTCCAGGTTGAATTGAGGCGAATATTTGTAATGTTCAGGTTGTTGTGTTTAATATTCATGAGAATATTTGTCATTGTTCAAATGATAATAAACAAACATATAAAGCATAGTTGTCCACTCATATGTTGATAAGAGTATGAAAAACTTGAAAGATATCCCTCTAAGGTACATTTAGAACAGATAAAAAATGTGCGATTAATTTGCGATTAATCGCGATTAACTATGGACAATCATGCGATTAATCGCGATTAAATATTTTAATCGACTGACAGCCCTAATAATAATAATTCAAGTACATCCTTTCAAACTGCTAGTCACATCCTCATGTAAATGGCAATTTATCGAGGTCAGAAAAGTTATCGAGTTCATTTTGATTTATCGTACGATAAGTCAATTAATTGCTTATCGCGACAGGCACACAATAAAACAGTGGAAACAAACATGTTTGACTTTCATTAGTGAATGAAACTGTGTGCCCTTTATAGTCTGTGTCCATTATTGTGTATTTGAATATATTGTATATATATCCTATATATATGCTAAGGTCCCGCTGCTGACACGATAGCAGTCATTTCGTGCGCATATGTGTAATTAAACCCATGATATCAAAATCTCACTCCAGCCAGGTACCCAAAGTTGGCAACCCTGTTGCTGAAACATGGGTGGCTGCTCTCTTCATCGCTCTCCTCGTCGCTGGGATTGGATTCCTGGTTTACAGGAAGAGGAACGGTGAGGGACCAATCAGAAACCTTGTCTCATGAGTTCTCAGGGTTGTTAATGTAAGGCTTTGAGGTAGCAGATCAAACTCAGAGCTCAGTGTAATGTGGATATGGAAAGCACTTGGTGTGTTTTCTACAGGGATAATCAGTGTGGTCTAGTTCCTTGTTGTGGTGGTGGATTGAAACACTTTCTCTGCTTTTCCTTTCAGCCAATAGAAACAACTTCCGCCAGCTCTGAGCTCACTGAGAGACTGAACCAGCCGGCACAGTGAGGGGCTTCACATCAACTCTCCACCTGTTGCATCAGAGCTCTTTCTCTGCTCTCAAACCTCTCCAGCTGCAGCTTTAGAGTTCAAACCCTTCTGCAGAGTGACCTCAGAAAGGCACGATGCTTTCAGAAACACAAATATTAGAAAATCAATGACATCAGTTCAATAAAATAGTGTAACACCAATTAGAAACATTGACCTGTAGATCAGAAGCAGATCAGAGAAGTGACTCATGTTCTGTTCTGTGTCTTTAGGGTTATGCATCAGGGGGCGCTGCCACCACATTCTCCCCGTAAACTGTTCATTATTCATCATCTGATCAATAACTGATCATCTGATCAATAACTGATCATATTAGGGTTTGGAAATCAAGCAATAGCTCATTGATTGGAGAACAGAGGAATCATGTTATTTGGATCATGTGGGTTTCACATCAAAAGGTGGCTTTCCCTCTGATTATGGATTTCAATCTAATTCTAAGAGAAGCTAAACCTCTATGTGGTTTCTGGTAAAAAAATCAATATTAAGTAAGAGATTTAAATATGAGAGGCCGTCTAGCTCACAACTCATACTTGGTCTTACAAACAATATCAGAATCTCACATGTACACCACCAGATTCTTTCACACACAGCATCATACCGTCTTTAACGTACTGTCATTCCTTCCTTCATTTACTATCATACTATCATACATGAATAACTATTCTCTCTCACACACAAACAACATCTCTTAAACGCACCATCATACTCTCGTACACACGCCACTATCGTCTTTCACAAACAACTATAATCTAACATTATAATAGTGTATGTGAAAGAGGATAGTAGTATGTGTGTAATCGGTAAACAATGTATGTAAAACAGAATAATAACCTATATAAGAGGGAATAGTATTTCATGTTAATAACAATAGTCATATTGTGGAGTCTATTTGTATATAACATTACAAGAGGGATTCTTATTATTACATTATATGCTTATTGTGCTCATGAGATTGCTATGACTATAAAATAAATAGAAACGATCACTAATCTCAGGTTCTGATGGGTTAGATACCAACGAAGAGAATAGTCAGAAGAAAGTTTTCAGCTTGCAATACTAATGTAGCAAGGTCAGGTGCAGACACTGGAAGAATACAAAGAGTTATTCATAAACAGGACATCACTCCGGCCTTGAGCTTTGGGTGAGCTCCGTTCCCACACATAGCAGCCTTATGAAGATTCCACTTTTTCTATAGAAATGTTAGCGAAAACAAATTACGTATGATGGTGCCAGAGTAGGGAGGGACTTCCACAGGCCGGCCGAATGCTGATTGGAGGATCGTGTTGCCAAGAGACTTTTTTCAAAGTCTGTGTATCTACCAAAGAGAACCAAGTCTAAACCACGGTACCTCTTCAGCTAGTCTTGACCAATCATAAATGTACGGGCAACGCCCTGTTTAATAAAAATGTATGCACGCACGAGGTTCGGGGCTCTTTTCCGGAAATAGTGGTTACAGATTACAGCTTTGCTGCCTGTCATTTCTATGACGTGACGGAGCCCTTGGCTAAGTGAATATATATATTTTGCTCTCTCATAATAAATAGTTAAACTTAGAAGTTGTCTGTCTTTCCTGGAATTTTGAACACAACAATATATGAAAACAGAATAGCAGTGAATGAAGGGCCGAATAATAGCTTATATAAGAGGTAATAATAGTTAATGTGAATGACTATATAGGTATGTGTATAAAACAGAATGATAGGGTGTGTGCATAAGAATAGTTATGAGTGTGAGAGAGTATGATTGAAAAGGAAGTGAGTTTGATTGAAAAGGAAGTTGGACTAAATTCTCAGTTCCTGATTGGCTCTACGTTTTTCGTAAGGCAGTAGACTGCTACTAATTGTCCCTATGCAACCTGAAGAGTAAAAGGGTCAAGTCCGTCAGAAAGCAATGACTGTAAGTGTGAGCCTTACACTTACCCCGGACACACCAAGCCGATTTTGGCCGTCGATGAATGTCAGGCCGACGATGAGCGTCCTGTCGCCCTACTCAGATTGGTGTGTCCCGCACCGTCGTGTCTTTTCGGCCGTGACGACACCTTTTTGGCCAAAAACCTACCGATTCGGTAGGCAATCGGCCAAAGAAATCACTCTGATTGGCTGTTCAGCTAGCGAATCAGTGCATGAGAAGCGAAACGGAAGTGAGGGACCCAAACAAACCATTAAGAAGGCAAATCTGAGATTTCATTTAACTCCAGCTCTCGACACAGGTTGGGGAAAGCCCCATGAGCTTCTCGCTGTAGAGTGAAAATGGAACGCACACGCTATTTGTTGTTTGTTTATATCACGCAGTCTGTTCTTCTTCTCTCGGTGTATCACGCAGTCTGTTCTTCTTCTCTCGGTGTATCACGCAGTCTGTCTTCTGGTTGTTGCCTCTTTTGAATGACGAATACACACTACCGCCGCCTGCTGGTAAGGAGAGTTATTGCCACTCACGCATGCGCAGTTCGTACGTGCTTCTTGGCCGTCGGCTGAAGTCTTTGAGGTGTGTTCCAGTGCGACTGATGGCCAAGACGCAGGAGACGTGAGGAGACACAACAGTCGGGTCCGTCTGTGTCAGTTCTTTGGTGTCAGCTTGGTGTGTCCCTACCTTTAAATGTAATTTAGGTTAACTTCCTGTTTTATTTAGATGCTTTTATTTTGAAGGCGAGTTTACGCTGTTGACAGGAAGTTGTTGTTGCTATGGAAACAACATGACTGCGAAAAGAAATATCTTCTACATATAAAGACGGAGAAAGTAAAGAATAAAGTGTATGTTTAAATGTTAGCACCCCCCGAAGAGGCACAAGGTTGGTATTTACTATAATATAAAATTGTAGGTTGTGTCCTAATTCGTTTATAAGCTGTTTTGTAGCTTTGCTGTCTGTTTACAGTTAACTTTTGGTAGTATGCTAAAGTGATTCTAATACGGATTGAGCCTAATTGTATTTGTTATTTTTGTGTCTTTATAGCTCTTACGTTGACTCTGGAGTTTCAATAAATTCTAAATCATCAGTAAAGTCTACGACCATATTTCGGAGGGATATGCTACAGCTAGCATTAGCTATATTTACCTTGTTTACACTTAGCGGTCCTAAGTGTTAATCTGTGTATGTTACACTTGCATGTATGAGATCATTAAGTGCCTTGTATCTTCTTTTATTATAGTTTCACTCCGTTTGAATGTCAGTGGACTGCAAATAAGTCAATAAAGGAGCATGGCTGCTCATTCCCTGGCTCTCAAAAGAGTTTGGCTGGCTGTTTAATCTATGTTCACACTGAGACAGTACAACACATAGAGAGAACAGTACACATATTGTGTAAGTACATACAAGCAGGTCACACAGTATGATCCGTTTTTATTAAAAAGTTCAGGCTGCATATCATGTGTTCTCAGCCTTGGAGAAACTTGACATGTTTTGGGATGTGTCTGAACCTCTCTTTAGTGGTTTAATAAAACAGATATTTGAACGTGAGCCTACTTTGTTCATGTGCTGTTGAGGTTAATGTCAGTAGTTGTGTGCTATAATGTATTTACAAAGTGTGAAGAGGAGGCAACTTTAGAATAGGGAACCTGTGAAATTATGAATAAAGAATGCTGGTGTATACAAGTCTGGCCTAAATCTTCTGTCAGAAAGATTGCAGCAATCCAAGGGGTGTAGATATCCAAACTTTAATTGTTCACAGGAGTTATGGTGTTACAGGATGTTCGTTTGTTATGTTGTGGTTATCTAGGAAATATAAATAAACAGAGTAGATCAAATTAGTGAATGACAATATTAATCCTAATAGTTACGTTACAATTTCCTGCTAGGAACAGTACATACACATAAATGCTGGAACAGTCAGCTGCATGGTAAACAATACCAGAAATGCCCGCAAGACGGCTCACTTGACCGCAACAAGTGCAAGTGTTTTAACACGTGATAATGGCGGCTTACCCCTAGATTCCCCCGGGTCCGTCTGCGCCGCGTTACGGCTGAGCCTCGGGGTGTTTCTCAATCGGGAGTAAAGCTGCTTCAGAGCCACTATTTCAAGCATACTACATCATACTCTCATATGACGCACACCTGCACACTTGCTAGCCTGTTCCACTCTTTGTTTTCCGAATGGCAGGTAGTATTCTTGACTCGCTTCTGAAGCAAGATGCTCGGCAGACATGTGCTACGAAGCAAGCGTACTCGCGATTGAGAAATGTCATGTTGTCAGTGTTATCGTAACAAATACATGTCATACTCTCCAGATATCCTTTGTATTCAGTAAAGTTAGACGTTATTTACCGTTTGGCATTTTGACGACACATTGATGGTTTCTGAGTTCATAAATCCAAGAGAATCCTTGCTCACCAACACGGCAGCCACATCGTTTCTCCTCCAACTCTCATGTGAATCTTTGAACTTTCACTTCGTCTAAAAGATTTCTCACAATCTGAGGAGCTGAAAGGTTTCTCCTCAGTGTGGACTTGCAAGTGTTCAGACTACATCTGCGTAAATATCTTCCACTTCTCAGTCAGCAGCCGAGGGGTTTCTCTCCGGTGTGAACCTGCATGTGAAGGTTTAATTCCCCCCTCTGTGTATATCTGTTGCTACACAGAGAGCAGCTGAATGGTTTCTCTCCGGTGTGAACATCCATGTGTCTCGTCAGATGACTCCTGCGAATAAACCTTTTACTGCACAGTGAGCAGCTGAAGGGTTTCTCTCCGGTGTGAACTAGCATGTGTCTCGTCACATGACATCTGCGAATAAACATTTTACTGCACAGTGAGCAGCTGAAGGGTTTCTCTCCTGTGTGAATTAGCATGTGTCGATTCAGATCACTCTTTTTGCTAAATGTGTTCCCGCACTGAGAGCATTTACAGCGTTTCTTTGCAGAACTACGCCTTGAATCACTGACGGGGACTCGAGAGTTTGAACCTGAGGGAGGGTCTCTGGTCTCCTTCCAACTGGCACTGTCTTCAGTGTCAGGTTCAGAAGAGTCTCCAGGGTTGTCCTCAGTCTCTGGTTGTAAACGTGTCTCTGGATCGGAGTTCTTGGCTGGTTCTGGTCCTCCACAGTCCTCTCCATCAGCTTCTGTTTGTCTCTGATGAAGCTGAGAGGACTGAGGTTTCTCTTCATCATCTTCACTCTTCACAGGGACAGGAGTGAATGTTGACTTGCTGTTATCATCCTCCTCCAGCCCTTGAAGCTTCTCTCCCTCCTGACTGATCCAGAGTTCCTCCTGTTCCTCTTTAATGTGTGGGGGGGTCTCAGGGGGAAACTCTTCTTTAACCTCCACCAGTTGGACGTCTGCAGGAAACAGGAAACAGGAAACAGAGACGTTACTGAGAATAGCTGTTGTGTTCATTACAGCTCAAAATCCCCTTCTTTGTTGAGCTCCAACGTTATCAGTTTTCCTATCGGTATAAACAAAATAAAAAAAGTATATAAAATAAATGTAATTGCGCCCTCTTGCTCTCGACGTGCGCCCCCAAACAAAATGCAGATTTCCCCCGTAAAATGTTAGTGATTCCAGAAAACAATATTTCTGTTCCTCAGAAACTGTAACTCCTCCAGAAATCTGAGAATCAAACAGAGCGTCAGACGACAGAGACTGCTTTGTTTTTACGGAGCTCCGACGTCACGTTGTTGTTTACGTCACGTTGTTGTTTACGTCACGTTGTTGTTTACGTCAGGAGATATCTTGTTTACGTCAGGAGATATCTTGTTTACGGGCGACATGTTCTCCAGAGATTTGATATATCTTATAAACAATATCAGAGCCACAGTACTCATACTACATCTTTCTAGAAACACCCTGCAGTTGCTGAAGATGTTTCTTCATGTGTTTTGGAAAATCTGTGTTTTCATATCTGCATCGTTAAACATCTACCGTAGAGATATTTAAAGTTGCACGCATGAAGGACAGACCCTACCAAAATAAAACATATAGTATATATATATATATATATTAGGGCTGTCAAGTTAACGCGTTAATGACATATTTTAACGCCACTAATTATTTTAACGTGCGATTAACGCATGTGTATTTGTCCTCGGCCCGCCCCGTAGTTTCAGAGCCCAAAGGCTTGACGTTGTTGTTGTTGTTAGTTGGATGGTGGGAGATTCTAGCGAGAGATATGAAAAGGAGTTTTAAACAGCAAGCCAAGCACACAGCTGATGCTGACAGCCCCGCTCCTGTCGCTCGCTTGCAGCAGACCACGCTTGAAAGTTTGTCGGGGAGACGCCTGGACAACAACAGCGATAGCTAAATGGGATTTTAGAAATAGATTTGCCTGTCCCACTGTTTTGGCCAAACTTGACCCACTCTACCATGCTGCACTGCGTTATATATCAAATGCACCCTATAGGACTCATTGCACACTGTATAGCCTAACTGGATGGTCCACACTTACTATGCGTAGGATGCAGCACTGGTTTTTATTAATGTATAAAGCCATTTTAGGCAAGCTTCCACTGTACATATGTGCCAGAATTGCCCCAGTTTGTGACTCTTACAACCTCAGATCCAGTGCGGATATACATATATATATATATACATATATATATATATATATATATATATATATGTATATATATATATATATAACAGCTGATATATATATATATATATATATATATATATATATATATATATATATATATATATATATATATATATATATATATAACATTTCTACATTTGTATATATATATATATATGTATATATATATATATATACATATATACATATATACCGGGACAGTTTCATCCCACAGGCCATAAGACTATTAAACAACTGAACTTTTTAAAGAACATCCATAAACATTCATCTGTCTGCATATTACTAATTATTTATCTATATATCAGATTCCATGTACTTGTATACAGACTCTTCTTGCACTATTTCTATTTTATTTGTATTAACTTGCACATCTCAAAACATTCTCTTGCCCTATTCTATCAGCGTTATCAGTTCTATGTCCTCTATATATTCATGTTGCTCTGTTGGAGGAGGACTTCAGGTTCTCATCTCCATATCTCCACTGTAGCTGCTACATGATGATTGAGCTTTGAAAGGTTTAGTCTAGTGAACATCCATTAAAGAGTGCACTGAACCGACCTGTCCTCCGGATCTGAGAATGTAAAACAGCGTCCAGTAGTTTCCGGTCTCTCTCGTGTTCCTCTTTTGATCGAGACAGTTTCTCCTCGTACTCTGATATCGTTCTTTCAAACAGAGCAAAGATCTCTTCAGCAGCTGCAGAGAGTCTCTGCTTCACCAACGAGAGCAGCACAACACTCATGTTTACACACACACACACACACACACACACACACACACACACACACACACACACACACACACACACACACACACACACACACACACACACACACACACACACACACACACACACACACACACACACTAGCTGTTCCTGCACACACACTCCGACCCACACAGTTAATTGTGTTGTTTTTTCTCCATCAAACTCTCACTCTGTTGCTAACGTGTTTCCAGCTAGCATGCTAAGCTAACTTCTATATTCGGTAAGGTAGAAGCTCCAGATGAAGCCGAACAGATCAGAGTAACATCGGAGAGTTCATCCGGACACACCGAGGCTCTGGAGGATCAGAACTGCGGGAGAAAACACACTCTTTATCGGGAGAACAAAGAGAGAAAACTGTCGCGACGAGACTCCATGTTGCTATCAGTTAGCAAGAGAGGTCACTTCCGGTGCGGTTTGAGAATTTCAGAAGAAAAACAGGAAGAAAAATAACACCAAAATGATATAATGGCTTTTTAACTGCAAACTTAGGCGGTAGGTTTCCATGTGTGTAAATATTATGATGTGAAGTGATTTAAGCCTTTCTCCGTCCTCCTGACTCTCTGAGGATCTGTGTCTTAGCTTCTCATTTACTATCAAAGTGTCTTTCAATAAAAAAGTGATGAGAGTCTGAATATCTGCTTTGATCCTAAACCTGAAACCAGTTCGGAAGTAACTTAGTACATTTACTCAAGTACTGTCTCTACTTTAAAGAGTCCTCTCCTGCTGATGTTCAGGTGTATATCAGTATGTAGTGTCTCTACTTTAAAGAGTCCTCTCCTGCTGATGTTCAGGTGTATATCAGTATGTAGTGTCTCTACTTTAAAGAGTCCTCTCCTGCTGATGTTCAGGTGTATATCAGTATGTAGTGTCTCTACTTTAAAGAGTCCTCTCCTGCTGATGTTCAGGTGTATATCAGTATGTAGTGTCTCTACTTTAAAGAGTCCTCTCCTGCTGATGTTCAGGTGTATATCAGTATGTAGTGTCTCTACTTTAAAGAGTCCTCTCCTGCTGATGTTCAGGTGTATATCAGTATGTAGTGTCTCTACTTTAAAGAGTCCTCTCCTGCTGATGTTCAGGTGTATATCAGTATGTACTGTCTCTACTTTAAAGAGTCCTCTCCTGCTGATGTTCAGGTGTATATCAGTGTGTAGTGTCTCTACTTTAAAGAGTCCTCTCTTGCTGAATTCTCAACTCACCTGACCAGGTTTTACCAACACTGATTCAAAGGCTACGCTATAATCTATTACAATTATAATATTACTAGTGCGTCATTTAACAACCAACCCAGTCTCACGGCATTTCGTGTTATAGTCACAACATTTAATCTATTGATTCGATTTCCCCCTTTTTTCCTTGAAATGTTCTTTTAGTCTTTATTATTTACCTACTTTTATATTGTTTTATTTATTTTAAAGGGTTTTATCTTACATCATTTATTTAACAGTTTTAATAGCAACATTTCCTTTTACGTTGTTTTATTCTTTATTAGAATTATGACGTTTTTATTACTATTATCTTTTTGTTTTTGTTGAACCTATAAGTTGACTTTATTTGATAGGGTTTCATATTGTTGCTTCGCTTCACTTAGTCTTGAGTCTTATTTATTATTTATTTTATTTGTATTATCTCACCTTTGACCTCCTCGTGTCTCTTAACCTGTTAACATGTTATATGTTCCTGCATGTATCTGTAAAGTTCTTAACATCTGATCTGAGGGGAACTTCCTGTGTATTTTTAACTGGTGATGTGTCATTTTGTAAATGTGCCGTATAAATAATAATAATAATTATTATTATTATATCATAGAAGATGTCTCAAGCGTCTTTAACTGATAAACCTCAGGTCTAAAACATCAATGCAACACATTTCTGACACTTTAAAAAAAGAAAATTCAGAAAAGTTCTATATTTCTTTCAGAACATTTCTAAAAAGAAATCAGAAAAATGTAGAATTGCCAGAGCCTCGGTGTGTCCGGATGAACTCGGTGTGTCCGGATGAACTCGGATTAAAAATTCTACATTTTTTTCACAACATTTAAAAAAGAAATTCAGAACATTTCTAAAAAAAAATCAGAAAAATTCTACATTTATTTGAGAAAAATTATATATTTTTTTCAGAACATTTCTACATTAGCCAGAGCCCGGTGTGTCCGGATGAACTCGGATGAAAAATTCTACATTTCTTTCAGAAAAATTATGCATTTTTTTCAGAAGAATTCTATATTTATTTCAGAGAAATTCTAAAATTATTTCAGATACATTTACGGAGCCCCTAAAGGAACATGGAAAAAAATCAATAAAGAGAGAGAGAAAAAAAAAAGTCCGGATAATGGGTAAGTATGTCCCTAAAATTAAGTCGCAGTTCGAAATATATCTCAAATAATGTATGCTCTGTCATTTCCCCACGTAAACTTAACAGTCTGCAATGAAATGGTTGTCTCCTGTGTGCTCCACTTCCTCCTTGGCGCACCGGTAACTTTCTAAAAAATAAAAAATAAAGTCAGGATAACGGGTTAGTTTCTCGTGCGCACGTTTTCCTGACTTTATTTTTTCTCATGTCTCTTAAACCGTTATCCCGAGTTTTTTTTTTTTATCTTCTTTTTTTTTTTTTCACAAGATACTTTCTCGTGCGCACGAGATACTAACCCGTTATCCAGACTTTTTTTTTTTTCTCGCTCTCTCTTTTTTTTTTTTCATGTCCCTTTAGGGGGGGGGGGGGTTACCTTGGTTGGTGATTGGCTAATGGTTACTCAAGCCAAAACATCGTTATGACATTATGACATCATAAAGTGGCCAAAATCTGATCAGCTCATTTTCAGACAGGTTTTTATAGAAATGGATCAGGACAAAAAGAGAGAGAATCTTTGTTCCTGAAACTTTCAGAGTCTCTTTCCACAGAGGGGACACATGTTGATGGAGAAGAGACATGAAGAAGAGGGGACACATGTTGATGTAGAAGAGACATGAAGAAGAGGGGACACATGTTGATGTAGAAGAGACATGAAGAAGAGGGGACACATGTTGATGTAGAAGTGACATGAAGAAGAGGGGACACATGTTGATGTAGAAGAGACATGAAGAAGAGGGGACACATGTTGATGTAGAAGAGACATGAAGAAGAGGGGACACATGTTGATGTAGAAGAGACATGAAGAAGAGGGGACACATGTTGATGTAGAAGAGACATGAAGAAGAGGGGACACATGTTGATGTAGAAGAGACATGAAGAAGAGGGGGACACATGTTGATGTAGAAGAGACATGAAGAAGAGGGGACACATGTTGATGTAGAAGAGACATGAAGAAGAGGGGACACATGTTGATGTAGAAGAGACATGAAGAAGAGGGGACACATGTTGATGAAGAAGAGACATGAAGAAGAGGGGACACATGTTGATGAAGAAGAGACATGAAGAAGAGGGGACACATGTTGATGTAGAAGAGACATGAAGAAGAGGGGACACATGTTGATGAAGAAGAGACATGAAGAAGAGGGGACACATGTTGATGTAGAAGAGACATGAAGAAGAGGGGACACATGTTGATGTAGAAGAGACATGAAGAAGAGGGGACACATGTTGATGTAGAAGAGACATGAAGAAGAGGGGACACATGTTGATGTAGAAGAGACATGAAGAAGAGGGGACACATGTTGATGTAGAAGAGACATGAAGAAGAGGGGACACATGTTGATGTAGAAGAGACATGAAGAAGAGGGGACACATGTTGATGTAGAAGAGACATGAAGAAGAGGGGACACATGTTGATGAAGAAGAGACATGAAGAAAGAGGGGACACATGTTGATGTAGAAGAGACATGGAGAAGAGGGGACACATGTTGATGTAGAAGAGACATGAAGAAGAGGGGACACATGTTGATGTAGAAGAGACATGAAGAAGAGGGGACACATGTTGATGTAGAAGAGACATGAAGAAGAGGGGACACATGTTGATGTAGAAGAGACATGAAGAAGAGGGGACACATGTTGATGAAGAAGAGACATGAAGAAGAGGGGACACATGTTGATGTAGAAGAGACATGAAGAAGAGGGGACACATGTTGATGTAGAAGAGACATGAAGAAGAGGGGACACATGTTGATGTAGAAGAGACATGGAGAAGAGGGGACACATGTTGATGTAGAAGAGACATGAAGAAGAGGGGACACATGTTGATGTAGAAGAGACATGAAGAAGAGGGGACACATGTTGATGAAGAAGAGACATGAAGAAGAGGGGACACATGTTGATGTAGAAGAGACATGAAGAAGAGGGGACACATGTTGATGAAGAAGAGACATGAAGAAGAGGGGACACATGTTGATGTAGAAGAGACATGAAGAAGAGGGGACACATGTTGATGAAGAAGAGACATGAAGAAGAGGGGACACATGTTGATGAAGAAGAGACATGAAGAAGAGGGGACACATGTTGATGTAGAAGAGACATGAAGAAGAGGGGACACATGTTGATGTAGAAGAGACATGAAGAAGAGGGGACACATGTTGATGTAGAAGAGACATGAAGAAGAGGATTTAGCAGAATAGGGGACCTTTAAAGAAAGCAGCTCTCTGAGTCTCATCTCTCTGAGTCTCATCTCTCTGAGTCTCATCTCTCTGAGTCTCATCTCTCTGAGTCTCATCTCTCTGAGTCTCATCTCTCTGAGTCTCATCTCTCTGAGTCTCAGCTCTCTGAGTCTCATCTCTCTGAGTCTCAGCTCTCTGAGTCTCAGCTCTCTGAGTCTCATCTCTCTGAGTCTCAGCTCTCTGAGTCTCATCTCTCTGAGTCTCAGCTCTCTGAGTCTCAGCTCTCTGAGTCTCATCTCTCTGAGTCTCAGCTCTCTGAGTCTCAGCTCTCTGAGTCTCAGCTCTCTGAGTCTCATCTCTCTGAGTCTCATCTCTCTGAGTCTCAGCTCTCTGAGTCTCAGCTCTCTGAGTCTCAGCTCTCTGAGTCTCAGCTCTCTTTGCAGCTGCTTCAAAGCCTCAGGAGCAGAGAAACTAAACCTCTTCTCCAGTTCAGTACCAAGAGGCAAAGTGTAGTTCTGTGTAAATGTGAGTACCTTCTCCCCTGGTACTCCATCCCCTGGAAGCCCCCGAGGACCCATCGGCCCCTTGAAGCCAGGCTCTCCCTACGAATAAGAAAAGGTCAATTAGTAAACAACACGAGGGTATCATCGGCATGCAGGGACATCCTGAAGTCCTGTCCATGGAGAGGACACTACGGAGGGGTTTGAGGTAAGATAAGAGATAAGATAAGAACTACTTGATTGATCCCAATGTGGGAAATGTTTGCGTTGCAGCCGCATAAACAGACAAGGCAGTACATTAGAGACATTAAAAGAGTAGAAATAAACAATCCACAATGTAAACATCGTTTGAGGGAAAAGCAAAGGCTAGAGATATAAAAGGAGACAGTGGTCATACATAGAATTAACAGTTTAATGGATCAGAGAGTATAATTATTATTATTGATAACTGTATTATGTTGGTCATCAAGGATGGGTATCGAACCGATCCGTGGAGACCAACATCATTTCATTTCATTTGTATTTGTTCCTTCATGGTATGCAGAACTTAATGGATAACAATTATCTACAGAACTTGTCTCTTTAAACACACCGTACCTGAAAAGGAGCAGGGAGGAGAAAGTAATCTGATTTGACCTGCTCCTTTCTCAAAGAAATAATGAATAGAAATAGATGGTCTGTGCTTCATATGTTCTTATTCTCAGCCAATCACAACGTGTCGTAGGACGATAATAATGTCGAGGCTCGTCAAGGGTTTTGATCAGGATGTTTTGTGGTTGTGGCTCCGCAGATTAGATGGTTTTCCACCAATCAGAGGGTCGACATGTCAAACTGTCCATGGGCAAAAACCTACATTTGAGTGAAGGGTTATCCCTCCTGACGACCAGGCGGCCCCTCAATGGGCTCTGCCGTTATGAGGACGTTTTGGTGAACTCTGGACTCGTGTAAAAGCAGTTTTTAGAGCTCAAACAGTCTCTAAATGTTCTGTATCACATGCATGTCCTACCTTTGGCCCCTGGATGCCCTCTCCTGGAGGCCCCATCAGGCCTGAAGGTCCACTTTGCCCCGTAGAGCCCTGAGGATACAACACATCACGGTACTTTAAATAAACAAGGCTTCATAAACTCATGATGAAATAGAGAGGGTTTTGAAACACACACTGACCTTGGGTCCATAGAGTCCAATCCCAGGAGGGCCTGATGGTCCTGGTACCCCCGACAAACCTCTGTCGCCCTGAAGAACAGACACAGATACACCAATATCATCTACAGCATTATACAAGTCTCTGTTTTAGTCTACCTATTTATCTTCTTGGACACATTTGAGTTTGTTCTATCAACAGTCTTTGGCACGATCGATCCACATGACGTGCTCTACATTCTGCTGCCACGTCCACATTTATGAAGAGGTGTTATGTTCGAAGAATCAAAATACCTTTATTCGTATTGAAACACTATTCGATAAAGAGCATGCACATACTATTACAAGAAGTTATTCCAATTTACAAGAAATATGTTGAAGCAGTCTCTAATCGGTGAATCATCTTCAGGTTTACGTTACGCTTCGTCTTTTCTAGAAAACTACAAAAAAAACATGTTAACTTTCAAACTTCTGCTTTAAATATGAGGATACTGAAAGTTGAATAAAATACAATAATACAAATACAAAATAGTGCAAGAAGTCTTTATGCATGTAAATAGAATATGATATGTACAAGAACAGAATGTAAAATTAAATAATTAAGACAAAATTAAATATGGTTTATTGCGGTGATAAATATTTAGATAAATAAATAAATTGCAAGATGACGAACAGATGAATGTTTATCGAGGCACTTTACAGAGCTCGAGTTTTTACATTTTATTAGTTTAAAATGTAAACCTATTCTCCTTAATTTAACTTTCTCCATACAGTTTGTCCTCTGTTGTTAATACTTGATATTTGCTAACTCTGCTGCTCCATGCATTTCATACATGAAGCATATATATATATATATGTATATGAATCAATATATATATATATATATATATATATATATATATATATATATAGCGATTATATTCTGTGCTCACGTTACCTTCGGCCCAATGATTCCCAGACCGTGTTCTCCCACAGCTCCTGAAGGTCCCACAGGCCCCAGATCCCCCTGTTAGAGAACCATTAACTCTCATTAAAACTGCTTTCAGATATTTATATTCTCAGAGGAGGGAGAAGTACTCACATCCTGTACTTGAGTAAAGGTAGAAGTACTCACATCTTGTAGTAAAAGTAGAAGTACTCAGATCCTGTTCTTGAGTAAAAGTAGAAGTACTCAGATGGTGTACTTGAGTAAAAGTAGAAGTACTCAGATCTTGTACTTGAGTAAAAGTAGAAGTACTCAGATGGTGTACTTGAGTAAAAGTAGAAGTACTCAGATCCTGTACTTAAGTAAAAGTAGAAGTACTCAGATCCTGTTCTTGGGTAAAAGTAGAAGTACTCAGATCTTGTACTTGAGTAAAAGTAGAAGTACCAGAGTGTAGGAATACTCTGTTTCAGTAAAAGTCCTGCATTCAAAATGTTCCTCAAGTAAAAGTAGAAAAGTATTCTCATCAAAATATAGTTAAAGTAGCGACAGTAAAAGTAGTCATTGTGCAGATTGGTCCATTTCAGAATAATATATATGATATGTTTTATAATGATTGATCATGAAAGTGTTCTCAAAGCTGGTAAAGGTGCAGCTAGTTTGAATGACTTTGTATACTGCAGGGTAGCTTGTGGATTTACTCCAGGTGGAACTAAAGTCTGATTTAACACTTGATTATATTTCACATCATTCATCCACATCTGTAAAGTAACTAAAGGGATTAAATACATGTAGTGGAGTAGTAGCATAACATTGAAATGCTCAAGTAAAGTAAAAGTACCTCTAAATTGTACTTATCCATCTAATAATAATAAATAATTGAAGCTCTTCTCACCACTAGGTGTCGCCCTCCCCAGTTCTGCCTCCTCCCTGTTCATTGAACCCAGAACACATCGCTCACTAATCACCAGAAAGACGTGATAACACACCGACACATGGATCAATATCATTTTATCTAAACTCATACACACAATCAATTATTTGTTGATTTATATTCTGTAATCTGAATCTTTAAAGTACCTTAAAGTGTCAGATAATTGAAGTGGAGTAGAAAGTCTTCTCCTTCCTCTCCACCTGATGTTCTTCCTGCCTCATTGTGTGTTGGAGCTTCAGAGCGTTACTGCTATGACCTTTCTTTGTGTCGCCAGCTTCATCTCCATTACTTACGCACTGAACTGTTTGTAATCTGTAAACTACAACATGTCTACCAGATGATGCCAATCCTCCACAATTACATTTATTGATCTTAAAGGTTCTTTATTTAAAGGGGACCTATCATGCAAAATGCACTTTTGTACGTCTTTTATACATGAATATGTGTCCCCGGTGTTCCAGGGAACTCACCAAGTGTCAGAAAACACAACCCTCTCTATTTTCCTCCATACCCAAATCTCTAAAAAAGGGGCTGCAACGGATCTGATAAAAACTGATCCAGATTTGAACACTGTCCTGACGTCAGGACGGTGGCGCTACGGCTATTGGGCCAACTCCACCAATCAGGAGGAGACAGCCACGGCCATTGCCGTTCGAAAGCACTGGAGACGCTGTAGTACATATGCCAGGCCTGTAGATGGTGCTGTTCTCACTGAATCTGCCCCTACAAACACAGAGCTAGAAATTGTCAAATTGAGCGAAATGAGGCATGGCTAAAATGCATGATCTGTTTGGTATTTTGAAAAAAAAAAGTATAAATATGCCTTATATAGGTATGGTCCTATACTATATTATTCAAATATAGTATGATAGGTCCACTTTAATTTGGAAACAAAAGCATTTAAACATGTTTAAACAAAAGGTAATAAGGAGTAAGTCGAAGAAAGACAAATATTATAATACATATTCAGAGCTCTGAGAAAACTAGGAACCACATTCAGAAGATGAAAGTAGTTTTTACTTTTCTGTAACAACACATATTAGTTTTTGCTCTGTGAGTGTAAAGATGTGAGGGTGCTCCCTGATAGTCTGGGGGTGAAAGGGAGGGAACAAAATATTAAATAACAAAGAGGAAACTGATTTGCAAAACCACAAGATGTCTTTGAATTACTCAAAAGCAAAGAGGGCTCACTAACCAATTTAAAAAACGTACTAAAGGCTAAATAAAAAAGTAATCAATATAAAAGTGATATGGATCTGAGCTCCTAACACTGAACCCTCCTGTCAGGTTCCTTTCTCCTTCCTCACTTCCTGTCTGTTTCAACTGCTCTTACATTAACACAACAAACATTATCATCACCAAATGTTATTCCTTTTTAAGCAGTAAACAAAGTCTCTACTGGTTCACATGAATACCTGCAGTGAGTAAACAAAGAATAGACTAACAGATAACATGGTTGTTGATGTGGTTGTGTATCTGATGGAGGAACATCATCTAGGGTTCTCCATTCATCTCCTATGTGTTACAAAGTTGACTAAACCTCTCAAAACTCAATGAAAGTGTGGATCAGCAGTTTGATATGTTCACATGCTACTGTGGAGGATATCATGAGGCCTGGAGGCCATCACATGTGAAACACAATATTTATGATTGATGTAAATCAGTCAGATTTGACCCGAACACGACAGGACGGTTAAAAAACACGAGTCCCAACGAGTGCCAAGTGTCCCACAGAGACAACACACTGATCACACACATCCATGCAGAGCAGGAGGAAGAGGACATGAAGCTGCTGCAGCTTTCCTCAGCCTTTGATGAAGGCGAGGGATTGGGATCACCTGAGAGGCTCACCTGGGGACAGACAGTTAGGGGAAGAGACACACAGTAACACAGGGCTCAGAGAAACCACCTGTCAATCATTAGCTGCTGCTTTCAGGAAGAGAGAGAGTACAGCTCTCATTCCTGTTGAGGGTTTGAAGTAGAAACAGAGCTGAAACAAAGTGAAACACAGCGTCAGGTGTTCAAACATCAACACAGGTGTTACATTTCTCTGGTAGAAGCACTGCTCAGCGTTCACAGATCGGATGTTTCAGACGCTCTCTGACTCTCTTTCTGCTTTGCTTTCATTCATTATTGCTTTCATTTCAAACGCTGAGGTCAGATATGGAAACTCTTGTGTTTTATGATATAGTTTGTCCTGATAGAAGGCCTGATGTGTGCAGAGAGCTGAACTGAACCACAACACCTTCACATACGTACACATACAGAACATCATTCAATGGATATGGACTTGGTAGTGGACATCTCCAAGAACCTGATGCTTTGATAGCACACAGGTCTGTGTCAAATAACAGACTCTCACATGACTCACTCTAAAGTCAATGGCACACAAAGAGGGGTTCATTTAGCACGACACATTTGAAATAACTAAAAGACAAGTTATACAAGGAAGTAGAAAGAAAGGGAGGTGATAGAAAACTATTTCTGCTAAAAAGTTGGCAATGATTGAGAGTCAGAGCTAAACATTTCAGATGTGTGTATCTCACACTGCACTGTCACTTTTATTCATGTGTCTTTGCTTCTAAATGAGTGTTTTTAAATGTCAATTCATAATATGTTTCTTAATGCTCTTAATGTCTTTCATTTTTGTAAAGCACTTAGAATTGCCTTGTGTTGAAATGTGCTATATAAATAAACTTGGCTTGCCTTCACTTTCGATACACAACCTGAGTGAGGGAGATTTACCGAGCAACAAGTGACGCGACGCTCAGACTGAATTCTCATTGGCTCAGACGGAGCTGGTGTTACCTCCCTTCTGTGTGTCTCTCTCATACCCGTTTCACACCAACGGTGTTTCAGGGCCGGTTCGGTGCTGGTGCTTGAAAAGCACCGGGTTTTCCTGTTCACACCGCAGCGGAGAGCAGCGTCATAGCTCCGGAATCCGGTTCGTTTCGAGCACCAAAAAGTTGTCCGTCTAGAAGCAAGAACCGCATACGTCACGCTTACGTCGGAGGGGGGCGAGATTAACCTGAGCTAACACTTAAGGCGAGTACGGCAAACAGCGTCAATTCAGACTGACACACATTCACTTAAGGGGAACTGGGGATATGTATCAGCTGCTTGTGTGACAGTCAGACAGTGAATACTTTAGAGCCGTGTGAGCTAACCCGGAGCTAACGGGAGAATACACTCCCGTTGAAGAGCAGCCGGCCAGCACTGCAGCGGTCGGTAAATGCCGCTGAAACACATTAATAAACAATGAACCACGGCACTCTGGAGAAAAGTATAAGGTTGGAGAAGTCGTTATTTAATTTAATCTGGCTTCGTATGATTAAAAGCAACGCAGTCCCCGGCCCGTTGTTGTTGTGAGGTGAGCTCCGTTGGGGAGAAACTCAGCGACGTAAACTGTGACGTCATGACGCAGCAGCGGCAGCACCAGTCGGGCTCTGAGCGGTGTGAAAAGAGCCGGCGCTAAACCGAAGAACCGGTTCTGAACCAGAAAAGCTCTAGCACGGAGCTTGAACCGGAGTTGCGTTGGTGTGAAAGGGGCATCATTGACATCCCGCTCTGCAGAAAGGACGGCTGTGGGGACGCGGAAGAAGGAAGTGAAGTTGGAGACGCGTGGCAGAAAGTTCACAGAGAATCGGAAATTCGGATACATACAGAAACGGTAGCATTGGACTGTTATTTTGGCGGATTTGCATAAACTGTACATTGAGTGTTTCATCATGTCAACCAGCTCAGATGGTAGCCAAAGACACAATATGGAATGGATGATAGCCAAAGCTGCGAAGAAGAAAAGATCTTTGAGAGACAGAGATAGTTCAGTAAGAGCTCGAAGTTGGTCGGATTGGTCGGGTGAAGCAGACGAGGCTAAGCAAAACAAAAAATCAAGAGTCAGTCAAAATGACAGTCAAGCAATGTTGAATAAAGAAATAGAACACGAGTGGAAAGTGGTAATAGAATTCAATCAGGATGGTGGGCATTACCACCCGATTAAACTTACCAAAGCAATTGAAAAAGAGATTGGAAAAATTAAATTTGCTAAATTCATGAACAATAAGCGGGTATTGATACATGCCAATAACAAACAGCAGCAGGAAAAGATTCTGGGAATGAACTCACTGAATGGGGAGAAAATGAAGGCGCATGTTCCAGGAGCAATGGCGAAACTGAGAGGAGTAATCTCAGGAGTACCATTGGACATGTCAATGGAAGATGTGAAAAGTGAATTAAAAGGAGGCAAAATAGTGGAAGTCACAAGGCTTAAAAGCAAACGGGATGGTACACTCAAAGAAACATTATCAGTTCTCATTCAGTTTGAGAGAATCTTACCTAAGGCAGTACAAATGGGATATTTGAACTTCATGGTTAGGGAGTACATCCCCAAACCTCTCAGGTGCTATGCATGTCAACGAATGGGGCACACAGCGCAGCAGTGTAAAGGACAGCTAAGGTGTGCGAGATGCGGAGGAAAACATGAGTATGGGAAATGTGAAAAGGATGCAAAGGTTAAATGTTGTAACTGCGGAGGAGATCACAGTGCTGCGTTTGGAGGTTGTGAAGTGCAGAGAGAGGCCAGAGAGGTGCAGAGAGTTAAGATTACAAACAAAGTTTCATACGCAGAAGCAATAAAGAAAGTAAGGGGAACAGTAACAATCAATAAGACCCCTAGTGGAATGGAGCAGAGCATTACAATACAAAATGTCAGGAACACACCAAAAAGTAATCTTCAAATCCAACCCCACAGCGCCACCAAGAGTAAAGAGGATGATGATGTTTTAGGAGTGAAAAAGGTGAATTTTGTGGTATTTATATGCCATACTGTAAATGTTGCATTGCAGTTAAAAAAGAAAAGTGATAGAATCAAAGCCATTGTGGAGGCAGCTGGAAAATTCCTTGACATGAAAGATATTAAAGCAGATCAGATACATGCAATGCTAACTATAAATGGAGCTGGGGAAAATGAAAATCAGGATGAGGGTTAGATCCTTAATCATGGTGCTGCACATACTACAGTGGAACGCAAGAAGCCTCATAGCTAATGGTCAAGAATTCAAGAAATATATATATGATCTAGAGGTAGTCCCTGAGGTAATATGTGTGCAAGAAACCTGGTTACGACCTCAATTAGACTTTGTCATTCCAGGATTTAGCTGTATAAGGCATGATAGAGATAATAATCAAAATGGTGGAGGGTGTGCCACGTTTCTCAAAGATGGTGTGGCATATAGGGAGGTGCAATCTCCTGATGATATAGAGTGTATTATAGTGGAAATCTGCAACCCTAGGAAACAAGATAACATTAGGATAATCAATTTATACAACCCATGTAAAAATCTAACCACTGATATATTTAAAGAAATAGCAGGCAATAAACATAGGAAGGAAGTTTGGTGTGGTGATTTCAATGCACACAACAGTCTATGGGGCAGCAACCATACAGACAGTAACGGAAATATAGTGGAAGAAATGCTGGAGGAAAGAACACTAGTATGCCTTAATGATGGACATGGCACAAGAGTAGATGTACACAGGGGGAAAGTATCATGCCTGGATCTGACATTAGTGTCAAACTGTTTGGTTCATACATGCGAATGGTTTGTTTTGAATAAATCCACAGTAGGAACTGACCATTATCCAGTGCTTACTAAAATGAATACTAATGTATATATACAGGAAGGAGGTGCAATAACCAGGTGGTGCTTTGCTAAAGCTGATTGGGGGAAATGTAGGATATGGTGTGAGGAGTCGGTACACCTGCTAACATCAGAGGGAAGCATAGAGGTCATTACAAGCCAAATAACGCAACATATTCTAAATGCAGCAGAGAACAGTATACCCAAAACAACAACCAAGGGTAGGAAGAAAGTGGTGCCATGGTGGAATGAGGAATGCAGCAGGGCTATTAAAGAGCGAAATAATGCATTTAGAGAATTAAAGAAAAACATGACACAAAATAATGTTATAGAGTTTCAAAGGAAAAGGGCAGCTGCTCGAAGGACAATCAAATACACAAAAAAAGAACATGGAGAGAATTTTGTTCTACCATTGGCAGAGGAGTAAAATTAGGTGATGTCTGGTCCATGTTTAAGCGGATGAGTGGGAAAAGGAAATCCATTAAAATTCCAGCTTTGGTTGATGGGGAGAGGCTGGCAGTGACAGATAAAGAGAAGGCAGACATGTTAGGAAGGACACTTGCAGCAGTACATAGCGGGGAACATCTCAGTGATATTCATAGGCAGCAAAAACAGCAGTTACTAGCAGAGAATGAAACGTGAAGGAGAAGAGACAGGATAATAGGTCAGCTCTTGATGTGGAATTTACAATGTCAGAACTCAAAATAGCCTTACAAGGTACAGGTTATACAGCCCCAGGACAAGACCAGCTATGTTATGCTATGTTTAGACAGTTGCCTATGGAAACTATGACAATGGTGCTGAGTCTTTTCAATAAAATCTGGAGAGAAGGAGATATGCCAAGTTTGTGGAAAACAGCAGTCGTGCTACCATTCAATAAGCCAGGGAAAGATACAGCTAACCCTAGTAACTACAGACCAATAGCTCTTACATCACACCTATGTAAATGGATGGAAAAGATCATTGTCCGTAGGCTCTCACATGTACTGGAGCAGAAAGGGCTGCTGAGTAGTTTTCAGAGCGGATTTCGTAAAGGGCGGTCCACAATAGATGCTTTAGTAAGAGTGAGTAATGATGTGGAAAAAACATTGAAAATGAAAGAGATAATGGCAATAGTGTACTTTGACATTGAAAAGGCGTATGACTGTATGTGGAGGGATGGGTTACTGATCAAATTGAGTAGAATGGGTATTGGAGGGAGAATGTACAATTGGGTAAGGGCCTTTTTAACAGACAGGACATTTAGAGTAAAGGTTGGAGCAGATATTTCCAACTATTTTGAAATAGAAAATGGTATCCCCCAAGGGAGTGCAGTCAGTCCAATATTATTTAACATCATGATCAATGATATATTTACATGTTTAGACACATGCATTCAATCGGCTCTATACGCAGATGATGGGGCTATTTGGATGAGGGGAAGAAATGCCCCATACGTAATGGAGAATATAGCTAGAGCGATTAAAAAAGTGGAGAGGTGGTCATATAACTGGGGATTCAAAATGTCAGAAAGCAAGTCATGCTACATGGTATTCACAAACAAACGCAAGATTGATGGCCAACAGCTAACACTATATGATCGTCCAATGACAAAGGTGAATGAGTTCAAATACCTAGGACTGTGGTTTGATAGCAAATATACATGGAAAATGCATATTAATCAAGTGGAAACAAAATGCAAAAAAGTATTAAATTTATTGCGAGCTGTAGCTGGATGCAACTGGGGCGCAGACAAACAAGCATTAATAGACATTTACAGATCAATTATGAGGTCCACAATAGATTATGGTTGTATAGTGTATGGAGCAGCAGCAAAAACATCGCTTTTAAAAATTGATAGAATACAATATAAAGCATTGCGGTTGTGTATTGGAGCGATAAAGTCATCCCCTATCAATGCAGTTCTGATAGAAGCAGGAGAGACACCTCTGGAGATCAGAAGAGAGAAACTTGCTCTGTCATACTGGGTCAGGCTACAAGGAAGTGGAGAAGGAAATATTTCAAACAGAATATTACAGGATTGCTGGGAATATGCAAAATTCCAGGGACGTGGGTTTGGCTGGACGAGTAAGGAGAGAACGAGGGCATATGGAGTGGACAATATCACGTTTGCTAAAGCAACCCCATTTAGCAGCGTTCCTCCATGGCTTTTCCCAGAAGCTAAAATAGATATGAGTATTGTAGAAAGGAAAAAAGAGTGGCAAGTAAATGAAGTGGGAATTAAAACAAGTATGTATCTGAATGAAAAGTATTACAATTGCCTACAAATTTACACAGATGGTTCTAAGAACAAGGAAGAGTGTGTTGGAATTGGTATATACATCCCAGAATTTAAAATATCTATTTCAAAAAGAGCGTCTGATCAATTATCAGTGTACACAGCAGAAATGCTGGCAGTAATAATAGGATTACAGTGGGTTGAAGAGGTCAGACCAGATAGGGTGGTGATGTGCACAGATTCATTGTCCATATTACAAAGCATACAATCAACAACAACTGCCAGAGAAGACATTCTCATAGAACTGAATCATAGCCTGTTAAGATTGCACAGAGGCGGCATAGATCTGCAGTTCTGCTGGGTGCCTGCACATGAGGGGGTGAAAGGGAACGAGTGTGCTGATAAATTAGCAAAAAGTGCACTACAAAAGGAAATAACATTACCAGTTCAACTTGGAAAAGGAGAAGGAAAAGCAGTAATTAAGAAGAAAGGGATGGAGATCTGGCAGAAAAGGTGGGAGAAAGACCAGAAAGGCAAAGAATATCACAAAGTACAAAAGACAATTACAATTCATATTTATAAAGAAAGAAACAGAAGGGAGGAAATCATGATAGCTAGGCTCAGAATAAATCACACAGCATTGAATGGTACGCTGTATGTCATGGGGAAAAGTGACAGTGACAAGTGTGGGAACTGTGGAGTAAAAGAAGATGTAGAACATATCTTGTTACATTGTGACATATATAAAGCGGAAAGAGAAAAACTAAAGGCTAAAGTTTTAGAGGCAGAGAGGGAATGGAGTGTGGTTGGTATTTTGGGAACAAAAGGAGAGGGAGTAAGAGCTACCAGAAAGGCACTGTTTACATTCTTGAGTGAAACTGGGGTAGGAAAAAGAATTTAACATTAGGTCAAGAAAGAACATAGATTTTTATTTTTGTTTTATTTATTTCATGTTTTGTTTTTTGTTTTTTGTTGATTTATTTATTTATTTTGATTAGATCATAGGTTAAAGAGTTGGTATGATATGATGATTCATACTCATGTACAGTAGGTGGCGGTATGCACCTTTTAAGTTGTTTGCAATCCGCCAAAAAACGAAGAGAAGAAGAAGAAGAAGGACGGCTGTGTTTCTGTGGATAAAGAACCTTTCACACAGAAAGCCTCGTGAGATCAACATGAAGATGTTGCTGTTTCTGCTTCTCCTGGGAATAGTAGGCCCACACTGCACATCTGCACGTGAGTCTTTTGATTCTTTGCGTTGGAAAATAAGAAATGCTTCATGTGTTTACAGCAGGGCTTCTCAAACTCCGGACCAAGGTCTGGATCCGGACCGAACTGCAAATCAATCCGGACCGAACCCTGTGTCGCATTATAAAAAATAAAAAAAAATTATAAAAAAAAAAAAAAAAAAAAAGAATTCTGATTCTGATAAATTAATGTACATCATCATGTACGCGCGTCTTGTGTCTGACGCGTTGTGAGAATGAACGTGCATATATATTTACTTGTGTGCGCGAGCGTGACACGCATAGCAGACCGCAAATTAACCGCAAGTTTACCTTGACATACTGTATGTATGTATTGAAGGTGTGTGTGTATACAGGGGCGCCGTTTACCGACAGGCAAGGCAGGCAAGTGCTTGGACCAGAAGGGGGCTCCCAAAGAAGGTAGATTAAGAAGGTCCACAGCAACGACAACATGAAACACCCTTTAATTTACTGCAACGACATGTCGGGCATTGATCCGGACCAGTGACCTTGTATAAAGTTCACAACTGGACCTTTAATAAAAAAGTTTGAGTACCCCTGAGTTGAGGTACACCTACCCGAGGTAGAACAAAGCACAACCATGTTTTTTCATTACTTTAATACGTCTAGTTTATGAAACGGATTGTTGTATAAAAATATTTCACAGCAAAATTATTTGTTTTGGTTAATGTTTGGAACTTTCCCATAACCGAAAATAGTGAAAATGTGCGCTCCTCTGAAGGGGGCCGTGTTGGCCTTATCACATGTATCCCTGGAAATAATGATCAGAATTTCACCAAATTTGGCCTAAATGTTCACAGAGAGGTAATGCACACCAGATTGCAAAGATTATAGCAATACCTTTTACCTTTTTTGTAATATTAACACTTACACACACATAATTCATATGCCGAAATGGAATAGGACATTTAAAATGCAAAAGGTATGTTTATGCTTTTCTGTCATTTTTAAACTAAAGAGTCCAATCACCCAAAACTGATGAAAGATTGCGTTTCGGGTTCAAAAATGTTTTTGATATAGTTGTATATGGGAGGATAACATGATGTAGTAATGTACTAACAAGACAACATGTTAACTTTTGGTTTCACATGAGGATAATTCATGTTTATTTGTCTGCATTATTTTGTGTTTTATTCTTTTTTTATTTTGAATGCATTATTTGTATTCCATACATTTAGGCTATATAACACACATACAAAATACAAAGCACCCCAGTGTATATATACATACTCTATATAACATATATCATTCATTTAAGATTTGATTTATCCAATCTAATAATTGAAAATGTTTATTTAAATCATGTGAACATATTATGCCAAGAAACCTGTTAGCTCATGGGATCACAGTATCTACAGTATCAACTGTTATTAAAAGATTATGTAAAATACAAACAAAAACTGTGTTTGGAATAGAAAAGTTTGATGTATAAAGCATATATATAATAATGATTATAATAAAAAACATTATTATATATAATATGTTTTGATCTCTTAATCTATGCGTTGAGTCCTTCCCTTCACACAGGTACACCCACAGGGCCCCATTCTGACGGCCATTTTGGCTGCACTGGTTAGCTGTTAGAGGCTGGTGACAGCAGAGGGGGAAGTGAATAGTCAAAAAAACTATTTCTATGAAAAGATAAGAGTCTCTGGTACATATAAATGACATTTTTGGGTGATTGGACTCTTTAGTTTAAAAATGACAGAAAAGCATAAACATACCTTTTGCTTTTTAAATATCCTATTCCATTTCCGCCTATGATTTATGTGTGTTTAAGTGTTAATAATACAAAGTACGTAAAAGGTATTGCTATAATCTTTGCTTTATTGTATGCTTACCTCTCTGTGAACATTTAGGCCAAATTTGGTGAAATTCTGATAATTATTTCCAGAGATACATGGGATAAGGCCAACACGGCTCCCTTCAGAGGAGCGCACATTTTTCGTTTCATAAACTAGACAAATTAAAGTAATGAAAAAACATGGTTGTGCTTTGTTCTACCTCGGGTAGGGGTATCTCAATAACTAAAGCCTTTTTGGGGGGTTTGTTCCTCTACTGTTATGGGCTGTGTGAGTTTAAAGTGTGTCTTAAATGGTGGTACATGGTGTACTTTGACTCCACTATATGTATTTAATACTTACAGATCTGGTAACTACTGTAGTTCTTTTTAAATCTGAATGTGGGAGATAAACATTGTTTGGAGATTTATAGTGACTGAAGTTATTACATTATTATTATCCTACAGGGACTCACTCTCTGAAGTATTTCGACACTGCGTCCTCTGGAGTCCCAAACTTACCAGAGTTTGTTAGTGTTGGGTTGGTTGATGAGGTTCAGATAACTCACTACGACAGCAACACCAAGAGATACGAACCCAAACAGGACTGGATGAACAGAATCACAGCAGAGGATCCTCAGTACTGGGAGAGGAACACTCAGATCTCTCTGAGTAACCAGCAGGTCTTCAAAAACAACATTGAAACTGCAAAGCAGCGCTTCAACCAAACTGGAGGTTAGTTCATGTTTCACCTTCTACTGATAATATATTGTTTATATCTTCATCCTGTACACACACACACACACACACACACACACACACACACACACACACACACACACACACACACACACACACACACACACACACACACACACACACACACACACACACTGACAGTGTCTCTGTCCATCCCATAATAACCACCAGAGGTCTCTTTATTCTCTACATGAGACTAACTCTACTTGTAGTGACTAAAGTTAATTAAATAAAGTCATTCAGAGAATAAACTCGGCTAACGACACGTTCAGGAAACAGTCTGTGCTGAAGTTCTGTTTCATAATGATGTTGTTAGAAAAAGGGATTTATTTCTAATTAATTAAAAAGACTCTGAATGACTCTCTCTCTCTCTCTCTCTGTCTCTCTCTCTCTCTCTCTCTCTCTCTCTCTATGTCTCTCTCTCTCTCTCTCTCTCTCTCTCTCTCTCTCTTCTCTCTCTCTCTCTCTCTCTCTCTCTCTCTCTCTCTCTCTCTCTCTCAGGTGTCCACATTGTCCAGAGGATGATAGGCTGTGATTGGGATGATGAGACTGGTGAGGTCAAAGGTTATCTACACCATGGTTTTGATGGAGAAGACTTCCTGATACTGGACCTGGAGACAGAGTCATGGATCGCTCCAAGACGAGAGGCTGTCCTCACCAAACAGAGGTTGGATAAGGACAAAGCTTTGATGGCAAACCTCAAGAACTACTTCACCCAGGTCTGTCCTGAGTATCTGAAGAAGTTTATGAACAATGGGAGGAGCTTCCTGATGAGAACAGGTAGAGTCACATGACCTGATGGAGTTTCATAAACACCTCCATGTTCATGTCTCCTGTGTTTCTGACATTACAACACATGTCTCACTCTGTGTCTCACTCTGTGTCTCACACACTGTCTCACTCTCTGTCTCACTGTGTCTCACACACTGTCTCACTGTGTCTCACTGTGTCTCACACACTGTCTCACTGTGTCTCTCTGTGTCTCACTCTGTGCCTCACACTGTGTCTCACTCTGTCTCTCACACTGTCTCACTCTGTCTCACTCTTTGTCTCACACTGTCTCACTCTGTCTCACTCTGTCTCACTCTTTGTCACACACTGTCTCACTCTGTAAGTAAGTAAGTAAGTAAAACTTTATTTATATAGCACCCTTCTCAACACGAATGTACAAAGTGCTTTACAGTACAGTACACAATTCACAGTACAACTAAAATGTAGAATAAAAGGCATAAAAAGGCATAAAACAACAGCAGGTAATACATAGGATAAAACATACGATAAAACACCAATAAAAGACAGCTACTAACTCACCTCCTCCGATGCCCCAAAGGCCTGACGGAAGAGGTGGGTCTTTAACTGCCCCTTAAAAATCTCTACTGAGGCAGAGGCTCTTAGTGTCTGGGGGAGTTTGTTCCAAAGCCTTGGGGCCACCACCTCAAAGGCACGGTCCCCCTTGGTTTTTAGCCTGGTTCGGGGCACCCTTAGGAGGCCTTGCTCAGAGGACCTCAGGGCCCGGGTTGTGCTATGAGGGAGGATCAGGTCATTAATGTAGGCTGGGGCTTGGCCATGGACAGCTCTATATGTGAAAACCAATACCTTGAATTGGGTTCTGAGATGGACAGGGAGCCAGTGCAGGGCAGAAAGAATCGGGGTGATGTGGCATGTTTTTTTGGACCGAGTGAGCAATCTGGCTGCAGCATTTTGGACCTGTTGTAACCGGTTTATTGATGTTTTGTTGAGGCAGGAGAACAGAGCATTACAGTAATCCAGCCGGGATGAAATAAAGGCATGAATAGCCATCTCCATTTCTGTGTTTGATAGAACCCCCCTGAGCTTGGCAAAAAGAAGGGGGGCTAAAACAGAACCCTGGGGCAGGCCGCAGGATAGGGGAGTGCTGTGTGATGAGAACGGGCCCACCGCCACGGAGAAACTTCTCCCACTGAGGTACGAGGCAAACCACTGGAGGGCAGACCCTGAGATGCCTACCCACTCCCTGAGTCTATCTAGCATGATGGCGTGGTCCACTGTGTCAAACGCTGCACTCAGGTCCAACAACACCAGAACCACGCAATCACCTGCATCCGATGCCATCATGATGTCGTTGGAGACCCTGAGGAGAGCTGATTCTGTGGAGTGGTGTTTTCTGAAACCTGATTGGAATTTGTCATGGATTTTATTATCATTCAGAAATGTATTGAGTTGGTTAGCAACAACTTTTTCTAAAACTTTTGACACAAATGGGAGCTTTGAGATGGGCCTGTAATTATTCGGGAGTGAGGGATCTAGATTGGGTTTTTTGAGAATGGGCTGAACAACCGCCTGCTTAAAGAATGATGGGACGGAGCCGGAGACAATGGAGATGTTTATAATGTGGAGCAGGGGTGGAGCGACACATGAAAAAACTTCTTTTAGCATAGACGTTGGTAAGGCATCCAGAGGGCTTGAGGAAGATTTCATAGTGCTCACTACAGCGGTCAGGTCGGCTATAGTGATGCAGGAGAAATTACTCAGCGTGGCCTACCTAACTGGACAGATAGGGAGGGGAGAGTGGGAGGGGTTGATGCTCGACCTCACATCAGCTACCTTGTTTATAAAAAAGGTGAGAAAACCTGTCTCTCACTCACTCACTCTGTTTTCTTTCTCTGCTGCATTTCTTTTTATTTGACCAGTGTTTCTGTCTTTCAAGGTGAACTTCTGAATCACATATTTTGTCTGACTAACACTGAACAGTTTCAGATTAGTAAAACATTAGACTCCTCTACAAACAAAGGTATTATTCTGGGATATGGAGACAGAAGACACCATTTCATCTTCACATGATGAAACAGGCGTAGTGTGAGCATCGTGTAATAAATCTGAATATGTTGGTGTGTACAGTGGCGTTTTTATATGTACAAAAGTGGTGGGGCACAAAAAACGTAGATGTCTATATATAAGCTTCTGCAGTGACGTGCAGTGAGGTTCATGGCTGGTGAGGCACTGGCACTGACTCTTCAGGTTTACAAATATTATATTTTGACCTAAACCAAAATATAATATTATTTTCAAAAGCTTTTTTTGTCTGATGCTTCGATTAATTTTAAACAGACAGTTCAACAAAAGGATACCCAAAAAATGTAATTTTATCATTTAAATATTGAATTGTTCTCTCTTAGTAAGATCCCATTTTCAATCAAATTGCGGTCTTACCTTGACTTGAAGATGAAGTCCATTTGCCTATCCTTCTGGACAAAAATGTCTATAACTTTTTTGTAAAAGTCCTCCTTATGTTCTTGTAGTTTCAAAAGTCTATCATAAATCTAATCCATAGATTTATGATAAAAAAATTATAAAAGTAGGGTAGACATGTGGATGTTATCCGGCTGATCAAAACGTGCATTTATCTAACAGGTACGTTTCCCACAGATCTTATTTCCAGCTATTTTCTAAAATCCTCTGGAGAAATCTCATTGCTTTTTTGTCGAGGGAAGCCATGCGCAGCTTACTTCCTGGTTTTAGGACGCGTCACTGCAGCTCTCTCGTCTCCTCTTCACACACCACACTTTTCGCGGCACACGTACTTACAGCCAATCAGCTCTGAATGATTTGAGATGACGTATGGTGGGGATGGTAGCTCCATGCCCCTCTGGTCATTATTTTTTTGCCACACACATTTCATTACAAAATACTCTGAGCATGCGCAGTGTAGTTTTTACAGTCACCGTTGACTTCACAGCGAGAGGAAGGGGCATAATCAGGTTTTGTCCCACATGGCTCTAAACAGCTCAATAGGCACACACTGTGACTGTAGACACACTAATTAGAAGAACACAGACTAAAACAGCAATGTACAGACGAATCAGATGATTAAACATGATCTTAAAATATATTTTATATATTTTTTTATTTTTTTTTTTGCATTTTTGTAATCATTATTTGTAATACTTTCTGCTGACACTAGGTGGGGCTGTGCCCCACCTGCCCCTAATGACCAGTCGCCACTGGGTGTGTAGCTGTCCGTGTTTCATCGTACGCAGCCTTTCTGTCTGGAAAGGATTTAAGACCAAAATACTGTTATTTAAAAAAACTGGAACTATAAAAAGTTTGGCATATTTCTTTAATAAAGAACTTAAACTGTTATTTTATAATCAGACGTGTTGGAATTAACTTTCTTTTGATCAACTATTCAGTGAATGGTACTATAGCACTACACAGTACAGTGGAGATAAATCAAACTTAATATTCTTGTCAGTATAGATTAAGTAATGACTATTTTTCAGATGAATAAATGAATTGTTTACACATTTGAATGTCAAGAAATAGAAACAAATCTTAATTTCAAAACTCTAAGAGGAAATATTCAACGTGCTTCTTTAATCTGAACAACACTAAACAGTATTTGATATTAAATTATATAAAAGTGAGAAGAAAGTCTTTATTTAACCAATTTCTCTGAAACACTGACTCTGTGTTCTCCTTCAGTGATGCTCACAGTACATCATAACTCCCTGTAGTGATATCACTGTGAGTCAATAACCTCTAAAGTGTGTTTGTGCAGAGATCCCCTCAGTGTCTCTGCTCCAGAAGTCCCCCTCCTCTCCAGTCAGCTGCCACGCTACAGGTTTGTACCCGGACAGAGCCATCATGTTCTGGACCAGAGACGGAGAGGAGATTTACGACAACGTGGACCACGGAGAGATCCTGCCCAACCACGACGGATCCTTCCAGATGAGCGTGGACCTGAACGTCTCCTCAATCCCCGCTGAACACTGGGCCAAGTACCGATGTGTGTTCCAGCTCTCTGGGGTGGCGGAGGACCACGTCATCGTACTGGACTCAGCTGTGATCAGGACCAACAGAGGTAAGACTGCATCACAACGGCTCAATGGTTACTTATGGCGCATTTCCACCATGGCGCAGAGCGCGGTTTAAGTGTGCCGTGTCGTGCCGGGCCCGTTTTTGGTTGCGTTTCCACTAGGCCTAGTTTCGGCCCGGGGCTACTTTTTCACCTTTTTTCTGGCCCGACAAAATCGTGGTTCTATCTGGGCCAACAAGCGGGCCAACAACCGGGCTGAATATACTAAACTAGTGAGAGAAGCGCTGGCAAGGGGGCTACAACTACAACAAAATGAACATATTTGACCGTGATTTAATTGTAATACACGTTTCAAAATGATGCCGAAGTAACAACATACTGATACCGGTTAGTAAAAACCATGAATTAATGCTTTGTCAAGTCTGCAGACAGACGGCAGGCGAAACACCTTTTACAATGCGTGTTTTCTGAATGGAGATTGGCTAAGCTAACGCAGTATATGCTCCGACCGTCCACACTCACAACAACGGCCTACAGACATAAATAAACCAGCGACTGTATTCGCCATGACACAGGCAGTCTGTGGTTTGTACTTGTTTAACTTTTGTCGAGTTTCTGAACAGATATGAGGAGCTGTGAGCTCTGAGTGCTAACAGCTAACGGCTGTGTTGTTTTTCTGAAGATGACGTCACGGCTCCGCCTACACTGCATTACTATAGATACTACCCCAGTTCCTAAACTGTAATGGAAGCGCAGCATAAAGTGAGCCGGACCTAACAAGGCCTAACAAGGCCTAACAAAACCATACTAAGTCGAGCGAGGCCTGCGGTGGAAATGCGCCATAACAGTCAACCAGCGACGTGCAGTCAGTGGAGGCAGGGGAGCCAGAGCCTCACCAGTCATACTCCAATGTAACGGAAAAAACAACTAAAGAAAAACGAAATAGTAATAATAATAAAATGTCTCCACTGATCTGTGTTGTAAGTGTGATTTATGTATGATTCTAATCGCTTTTTATAGTCAAAATCAGCAAATTTGCCGAGCTCCGCTACGGGAGCGATGAGAAGTGAGGCAGGGGCGTGCTCTGCCTCTCGTAAGCCCACAGTAACTTGCTGGAGCGCGGGCACTAATGTAGCGCGGGCACTTATTTTGTGAGCGCGCTCAAGCCATTTACTGTGGGCTGAGGTGAGGCACAGATGAGATCTGCCTCACCTCAGAATGCGTCACCCCACAGAAACTGGCTGGAAAGCGGGCCCTAAGCGCATGCCTGTTACCATCTCACTGTAGGTCACCAATGTAATGTATGTAGATCCCTTTATTACATTTATCCTCGCCATCCATAGTCTCTAAATAACTTATTTCACGTATATATGATATTTAGGCTCGCTGCTCTCAACGGCAATGAAAATGCACCAGGGGAGGCAGCCATAACCTCTGCCGCACTAAAGGGGGCGCACGTGAGCCCACAGGTTCTTGTTGCTACTGTAATTCTACGCAGAGACGGTAGACGTAACAACAAACTAGACTTTTGAAACTAGAGGGAGATAAGGAGGACTTTTACAAAAAAGTAATAGAGATTGTTGTCCAGAAGGATAGCATGGACTTCATCTTCAAGTCAAGGTAAGACCACATTTGTAATGAAAATGGGATCTTACTAAGAAAGAACAATCCAATATTTAGATTTTGGGTATCCTTTTGTTGAACGGTCTGTTTAAAATGAATCGAAGCATCAGACTAAAAAAGCTTTTGAAAATAACCGAATATTTCGATTAAGGTCAAAATATAATATTTGTAAATCTGACTCAGTGCCTCACCAGCCATGAACCTCACCGCACGTCACTGCAGTCAACAGACCCTGTGTGATTGTAGTAATGTGTTTTTATTACATGTACAGCACTTTGGCTCGACCAAAAATCGCTTTTAAATGTGCTATATAAATAAAACCTGATTTGATTTGATTTGATTCAACAAACCCTGACAACATTTCATAGTTTCCCTCCCCTGAAACCAGGGTTGCCAACTCTCACGCATCTGGCGTGTGACACACGCTTTCACTCTCAACCTCACGCTCTCACGCTGCCCAAACTATTCTCACGCCAAAAACAAGAATACTGAAGATTAGAAACGGTTTTTGAAAACTTTTGTCACGTAGTGATCGTCTTCTCAATAGAACATCTTTGATAATGTCTTCTGGCCAATCAGAATCACGATAACGGCGTGGTGTTGTTGCAGGAAGTCCCGACGGAGAATACTTTTGCTGTAGTACATCTCTATACAACATTACGTGTTGATAGAATTCAACACGTAATGAAATAAGACCCCACGGTTTGATGATTGATAGGTGTGTGGGCTGTCTTTCATTTTGACACACAGAACAATGGGGGCTATCCACCCTTATCCACAATGTAAAGTAATTCACACAGCCTCTTCCCTCTTCTCTCTGTGAGGAGCAGCAGGTTCAGCTTTCAGAACAAAGTAACACAAAACTAAAATGGCATTAATTTTTTTAAATATGTCGTGTAGTAATAGATTTATTTATTTTTCTTCTCAAGAGAGTACCAGAATGTGTATTTTATGTTAGTATTTAAAAAACTCCTGGGGGAGAATCCCCCCAGACCCCCCTGCAGGGCTTGGGTTTTCAGCATGTCAACTCTTTCACCTGTGGGGAAATTGCAGGATTGGCTCCAGGTCGCCCTTTTTATTTACTACAAGACAAATGTGCCTTTTTATTTCATACATTTCAATTTGGATTGAGACAGGGAAATAATCTAAACCTCACGCGTGGCGTTTCACTGTCGGGGGGAGCGTGTATGTAATTACATTGCAAATACTGACTTGAGCCCCACCACTGTATGGGTTAGCCCTACCATAGATTACCCAACAAAAATACTCTGGAGCCGCAACTGCGGACCCGTATTGCGCATGCGCAGATCTAAGATCCAGTAGAAATGATAAAAAGTAAAAGTCTGCTGCTTATTGTTCTACTAGGCCAACATAGAGTCAAAGAGTATATGAGAGTGAGAGTGTGTTAATGAATATATTTGGCAGTTTGGAGTAAGTCTGTAGATTTGTTTGTGTGTGTGTGTTTCATGTATAGGCCTCTCACGATAATTAATTTTGTTGGATACATTTTCCCGGAAATTATTGCGATAAACGATAATATTGTCGGCACCGTTGTATGACCATTTTAGACCACTGACATAATGATAATATATAATAATTAGGGCTGTTTTTGCGTTAACGCGTTAATAACGCATTAACGCAAAAAAAAAATTAACGCCACTAATTATTTTAACGCGATTAACGCATGTGTATTTTTTGTCCTCGGCCGCCGTAGTTTCAGAGCGCATCGAGTGTAAAATACCATCGACAAGCTGATGCTGACAGCCCCGCTCCTGCCACCCGCTTGTGGCAGACCACACTACCACGCTCACTGGCAGGCCCGGACTGGCCATCGGGAGGACCGGGAAGGAGTGTGTATGTGTGGCGCGACTCGCGCGAGCGAGGCACACCTTACGTGTTGTTGTTGTTGTTAGCATCTGGTGCTAGCTAGCTGCGCTGACGGATATAAGGAGCTGTTTCAATGACATTTCGCCGACAACTGCGCCGAGCACTTGACTTTATGCAGGTAGCCAGACAGTGGGACATTGTACGAAAAGTCAGCACAGTCAGCACGGATAGTGCGCGCAACATGATTGCAGCGTCCAGGCAGCTCCCATTCGAGCATATATGCCTTGAGCTGCACATAGCTCCATAGATCCATCACAGTGTCTCCACACACACACACACACACACACACACACACACACACACACACACACACACACACACCACACACACACACACACACCACACACACACACACACACACACACACACGAACACACACACACTGTATTATTGTATGAGAGAGGTTCCAGGTTGAATTGAGGCGAATATTTGTAATGTTCAGGTTGTTGTGTTTAATATTCATGAGAATATTTGTCATTGTTCAAATGATAATAAACAAACATATAAGCATATGTGTCCACTCATATGTTGATAAGAGTATGAAAAACTTGAAAGATATCCCTCTAAGGTACATTTAGAACAGATAAAAAATGTGCGATTAATTTGCGATTAATCGCGATTAACTATGGACAATCATGCGATTAATCGCGATTAAATATTTTAATCGACTGACAGCCCTAATAATAATAATTCAAGTACATTCTTTCAAACTGCTAGTCACATCCTCATGTAAATGGCAATTTATCGAGGTCAGAAAAGTTATCGAGTTCATTTTTATTTATCGTACGATAAGTCAATTAATTGCTTATCGCGACAGGCACACAATAAAACAGTGGAAACAAACATGTTTGACTTTCATTAGTGAATGAAACTGTGTGCCCTTTATAGTCTGTGTCCATTATTGTGTATTTGAATATATTGTATATATATCCTATATATATGCTAAGGTCCCGCTGCTGACACGATAGCAGTCATTTCGTGCGCATATGTGTAATTAAACCCATGATATCAAAATCTCACTCCAGCCAGGTACCCAAAGTTGGCAACCCTGTTGCTGAAACATGGGTGGCTGCTCTCTTCATCGCTCTCCTCGTCGCTGGGATTGGATTCCTGGTTTACAGGAAGAGGAACGGTGAGAGACCAATCAGAAACCTTGTCTCATGAGTTCTCAGGGTTGTTAATGTAAGGCTTTGAGGTAGCAGATCAAACTCAGAGCTCAGTGTAATGTGGATATGGAAAGCACTTGGTGTGTTTTCTACAGGGATAATCAGTGTGGTCTAGTTCCTTGTTGTGGCGGTGGATTGAAACACTTTCTCTGCTTTTCCTTTCAGCCAATAGAAACAACTTCCGCCAGCTCTGAGCTCACTGAGAGACTGAACCAGCCGGCACAGTGAGGGGCTTCACATCAACTCTCCACCTGTTGCATCAGAGCTCTTTCTCTGCTCTCAAACCTCTCCAGCTGCAGCTTTAGAGTTCAAACCCTTCTGCAGAGTGACCTCAGAAAGGCACGATGCTTTCAGAAACACAAATATTAGAAAATCAATGACATCAGTTCAATAAAATAGTGTAACACCGATTAGAAACATTGACCTGTGCATCAGAAGCAGATCAGAGAAGTGACTCAGGTTCTGTTCTGTGTCTTTAGGGTTATGCATCAGGGGGCGCTGCCACCACATTCTCCCCGTAAACTGTTCATTATTCATCATCTGATCAATAACTGATCATCTGATCAATAACTGATCATATTAGGGTTTGGAAATCAAGCAATAGCTCATTGATTGGAAAACAAAGGAATCATGTTATTTGGATCATGTGGGTTTCACATCAAAAGGTGGCTTTCCCTCTGATTATGGATTTCAATCTAATTCTAAGAGAAGCTAAACCTCTATGTGGTTTCTGGTAAAAAAATCAATATTAAGTAAGAGATTTAAATATGAGAGGCCGTCTAGCTCACAACTCATACTTGGTCTTACAAACAATATCAGAATCTCACATGTACACCACCAGATTCTTTCACACACAGTATCATACCGTCTTTAACGTACTGTCATTCCTTCCTTCATTTACTATCATACTATCATACATAAATAACTATTCTCTCTCACACACAAAAACAAAATCTCTTAAACGCACCATCATACTCTCGTACACACGCCACTATCGTCTTTCACAAACAACTATAATCTAATAGAACATTATAATAGTGTATGTGAAAGAGGATAGTAGTATGTGTGTAATCGGTAAACAATGTATGTAAGACAGAATAATAACCTATATAAGAGGGAATAGTATTTCATGTTAATAACAATAGTCATATTGTGGAGTCTATTTGTGTATAACATTACAAGAGGGATTCTTATTATTACATGATATGCTTATTGTGCTCATGAGATTGCTATGACTATCAAATAAATAGAAACGATCACTAATCTCAGGTTCTGATGGGTTAGATACCAACGAAGGGAATAGTCAGAAGAAAGTTTTCAGCTTGCAATACTAATGTAGCAAGGTCAGGTGCAGACACTGGAAGAATACAAAGAGTTATTCATAAACAGGACATCACTCCGGCCTTGAGCTTTGGGTGAGCTCCGTTCCCACACATAGCAGCCTTATGAAGATTCCACTTTTTCTATAGAAATGTTAGCGAAAACAAATTACGTATGATGGTGCCAGAGTAGGGAGAGACTTCCACAGGCCGGCCGAATGCTGATTGGAGGATCGTGTTGCCAAGAGACTTTTTTCAAAGTCTGTGCATCTACCAAAGAGAACCAAGTCTAAACCACGGTACCTCTTCAGCTAGTCTTGACCAATCATAAATGTACGGGCAACGCCCTGTTTAATAAAAATGTATGCACGCACGAGGTTCGGGGCTCTTTTCCGGAAATAGTGGTTACAGATTACAGCTTTGCTGCCTGTCATTTCTATGACGTGACGGAGCCCTTGGCTAAGTGAATATATATATTTTGCTTTCTCATAATAAATAGTTAAACTTACAAGTTGTCTGTCTTTCCTGGAATTTTGAACACAACAATATATGTAAAACAGAATAGCAGTGAATGAAAGGCCGAATAATAGCTTATATAAGAGGTAATAATAGTTAATGTGAATGACTATATAGGTATGTGTATAAAACAGAATGATAGGGTGTGTGCATAAGAATAGTTATGAGTGTGAGAGAGTATGATTGAAAAGGAAGTGAGTTTGATTGAAAAGGAAGTTGGACTAAATTCTCAGTTCCTGATTGGCTCTACGTTTTTCGTAAGGCAGTAGACTGCTACTAATTGTCCCTATGCAACCTGAAGAGTAAAAGGGTCAAGGCCGTCAGAAAGCAATGACTGTAAGTGTGAGCCTGACACTTACCCCGGACACACCAAGCCGATTTTGGCCGTCGATGGATGTCAGGCCGACGATGAGCGTCCTGTCGCCCTACTCAGATTGGTGTGTCCTGCACCGTCGTGTCTTTTCGGCCGTGACGACACCTTTTTGGCCGAAAACCTACCGATTCGGTAGATTTTCGGCCAAAGAAATCACTCTGATTGGCTGTTCAGCTAGCGAATCAGTGCATGAGAAGCTAAACGGAAGTGAGGGACCCAAACAAACCATTAAGAAGGCAAATCTGAGATTTCATTTAACTCCAGCTCTCGACACAGGTTGGGGAAAGCCCCATGAGCTTCTCGCTGTAGAGTGAAAATGGAACGCACGCTATTTGTTGTTTGTTTATATCACGCAGTCTGTTCTTCTTCTCTCGGTTATCACGCAGTCTGTCTTCCGGTTGTTGCCTCTTTTGAATGACGAATACACACTACCGCCGCCTGCTGGTAAGGAGAGTTATTGCCACTCACGCATGCGCAGTTCGTACGTGCTTCTTGGCCGTCGGCTGAAGTCTTTGCGGTGTGTTCCAGTGCGACTGTTGGCCAAGACGCAGGAGACACAACAGTCGGGTCCGTCTGTGTGAGTTATTTGGTGTCAGCTTGGTGTGTCCCTACCTTTAAATGTATTTTAGGTTAACTTCCTGTTTTATTTAGATGCTTTTATTTTGAAGGCGAGTTTACGCTGTTGACAGGAAGTTGTTGTTGCTATGGAAACAACATGACTGCGAAAAGAAATATCTTCTACATATAAAGACGGAGAAAGTAAAGAATAAAGTGTATGTTTAAATGTTAGCACCCCCCGAAGAGGCACAAGGTTGGTATTTACTATAATATAAAATTGTAGGTTGTGTCCTAATTCGTTTATAAGCTGTTTTGTAGCTTTGCTGTCTGTTTATAGTTAACTTTTGGTAGTATGCTAAAGTGATTCTAATACGGATTGAGCCTAAATGTATTTGTTATTTTTGTGTCTTTATAGCTCTTACGTTGACTCTGGAGTTTCAATAAATTCTAAATCATCAGTAAAGTCTACGACCATATTTCGGAGGGATATGCTACAGCTAGCATTAGCTATATTTACCTTGTTTACACTTAGCGGTCCTAAGTGTTAATCTGTGTATGTTACACTTGCATGGATGAGATTATTAAGTGCCTTGTAACTTCTTTTTTTATAGTTTCACTCCGTTTGAATGTCAGTGGACTGCAAATAAGTCAATAAAGGAGCATGGCTGCTCATTCCCTGGCTCTCAAAAGAGTTTGGCTGGCTGTTTAATCTATGTTCACACTGAGACAGTACAACACATAGAGAGAACAGTACACATATTGTGTAAGTACATACAAGCAGGTCACACAGTATGATCCGTTTTTATTAAAAAGTACAGGCTGCATATGTGTTCTCAGCCTTGGAGAAACTTGACATGTTTTGGGATGTGTCTGAACCTCTCTTTAGTGGTTTAATAAAACAGATATTTGAACGTGAGCCTACTTTGTTCATGTGCTGTTGAGGTTAATGTCAGTAGTTGTGTGCTATAATGTATTTACAAAGTGTGAAGAGGAGGCAACTTTAGAATAGGGAACCTGTGAAATTATGAATAAAGAATGCTGGTGTATACAAGTCTGGCCTAAATCTTCTGTCAGAAAGATTGCAGCAATCCAAGGGGTGTAGATATCCAAACTTTAATTGTTCACAGGAGTTATGGTGTTACAGGATGTTCGTTTGTTATGTTGTGGTTATCTAGGAAATATAAATAAACAGAGTAGATCAAATTAGTGAATGACAATATTAATCCTAATAGTTACGTTACAATTTCCTGCTAGGAACAGTACATACACATAAATGCTGGAACAGTCAGCTGCATGGTAAACAATACCAGAAATGCCCGCAAGAGGGCTCACTTGACCGCAACAAGTGCAAGTGTTTTAACACGTGATAATGGCGGCTTACCCCTAGATTCCACCAGGTCCGTCTGCGCCACGTTACGGCTGAGCCTCGGGGTGTTTCTCAATCGCGAGTAAAGCTGCTTCAGAGCCACTATTTCAAGCATACTACGTCATCGAGTGCCGCCGAGGTACTGTTCCAATCTCCAGCATACTTGGAAATCTACCGAGCCCGGCGTACTCCGTTTGGAGAAATATCGAGGCTGCACATGAGTACACTCTTAAAATCTTCACAATGCTTTGCGCACGGACCAATTTCCCCAAATCTGTGGCGGAAGATGTAAGGCGGGGCCTCTCATATGACGCACACCTGCACACTTGCTAGCCTGTTCCACTCTTTGTTTTCCGAATGGCAGGTAGTATTCTTGACTCGCTTCTGAAGCAAGATGCTCGGCAGACATGTGCTACGAAGCAAGCGTACTCGCGATTGAGAAATGTCATGTTGTCAGTGTTATCGTAACAAATACATGTCATACTCTCCAGATGTCCTTTGTATTCAGTAAAGTTAGACGTTATTTACCGTTTGGCATTTTGACGACACATTGATGGTTTCTGAGTTCATAAATCCAAGAGAATCCTTGCTCACCAACACGGCAGCCACATCGTTTCTCCTCCAACGCTCATGTGAATCTTTGAACTTTCACTTCGTCTAAAAGATTTCTCACAATCTGAGCAGCTGAAAGGTTTCTCCTCAGTGTGGACTTGCAAGTGTTCAGACTACATCTGCGTAAATATCTTCCACTTCTCAGTCAGCAGCCGAGGGGTTTCTCTCCGGTGTGAACCTGCATGTGAAGGTTTAATTCCCCCCTCTGTGTATATCTGTTGCTACACAGAGAGCAGCTGAATGGTTTCTCTCCGGTGTGAACATCCATGTGTCTCGTCAGATGACTCCTGCGAATAAACCTTTTACTGCACAGTGAGCAGCTGAAGGGTTTCTCTCCGGTGTGAACTAGCATGTGTCTCGTCACATGACATCTGCGAATAAACATTTTACTGCACAGTGAGCAGCTGAAGGGTTTCTCTCCTGTGTGAATTAGCATGTGTCGATTCAGATCACTCTTTTTGCTAAATGTGTTCCCGCACTGAGAGCATTTACAGCGTTTCTTTGCAGAACTACGCCTTGAATCACTGACGGGGACTCGAGAGTTTGAACCTGAGGGAGGGTCTCTGGTCTCCTTCCAACTGGCACTGTCTTCAGTGTCAGGTTCAGAAGAGTCTCCAGGGTTGTCCTCAGTCTCTGGTTGTAAACGTGTCTCTGGATCGGAGTTCTTGGCTGGTTCTGGTCCTCCACAGTCCTCTCCATCAGCTTCTGTTTGTCTCTGATGAAGCTGAGAGGACTGAGGTTTCTCTTCATCATCTTCACTCTTCACAGGGACAGGAGTGAATGTTGACTTGTTATCATCCTCCTCCAGCCCTTGAAGCTTCTCTCCCTCCTGACTGATCCAGAGTTCCTCCTGTTCCTCTTTAATGTGTGGGGGGGTCTCAGGGGGAAACTCTTCTTTAACCTCCACCAGTTGGACGTCTGCAGGAAACAGGAAACAGGAAACAGAGACGTTACTGAGAATAGCTGTTGTGTTCATTACAGCTCAAAATCCCCTTCTTTGTTGAGCTCCAACGTTATCAGTTTTCCTATCGGTATAAACAAAATAAAAAAAGTATATAAAATAAATGTAATTGCGCCCTCTTGCTCTCGACGTGCGCCCTCAAACAAAATGCAGATTTCCCCCGTAAAATGTTACAGTGATTCCAGAAAACAATATTTCTGTTCCTCAGAAACTGTAACTCCTCCAGAAATCTGAGAATCAAACAGAGCGTCAGACGACAGAGACTGCTTTGTTTTTACGGAGCTCCGACGTCACGTTGTTGTTTACGTCACGTTGTTGTTTACGTCACGTTGTTGTTTACGTCAGGAGATATCTTGTTTACGGGCGACATGTTCTCCAGAGATTTTATATATCTTATAAACAAGACCAGAGACACAGTACTCATACTACATCTTTCTAGAAACACCCTGCAGTTGCTGAAGATGTTTCTTCATGTGTTTTGGAAAATCTGTGTTTTCATATCTGCATCGTTAAACATCTACCGTAGAGATATTTAAAGTTGCACGCATGAAGGACAGACCCTACTAAAATAAAACATATAGTATATATATATATATATATATTAGGGCTGTCAAGTTAACGCGTTAATGCAATTTTTTAACGCCACTAATTATTTTAACGTGCGATAAACGCATGTGTATTTGTCCTCGGCCCGCCCCGTAGTTTCAGAGCCCAAAGGCTTGACGTTGTTGTTGTTAGTTGGATGGTGGGAGATTCTAGCGAGAGATATGGATACAAGAAAAGGAGTTTTAAACAGCAAGCCAAGCACACAGCTGATGCTGACAGCCCTGCTCCTGCCGCTCGCTTGCAGCAGACCACGCTTGAAAGTTTGCCGGGGAGACGCCTGGACAACAACAGCGATAGCTAAATGGGGGCTACAGCTTAACATTGTGGAGGACGAGGGGCTGCGTTGGATCATTCGGATCGCATCCAACGTGTCGACTGCACATCACAGCGCATTATTTTGACCCTAGGTGGGAACTTCAGTCTCATGCTTTGACTGTTATGAAGACAGAGGAGCGGCATTTCACATTTTGTCTGTTTGAGCAACTGGCTCAGTGCAGAGAAGTACACAGGGTTGAG